TAGTAATGGTCGTTTTATTAGCGTCCAAGCAACAAGTTACGTTTACATCTGTAGATAGAACGTAAGAGCTGTTTCAAGTGATACAATTTTCAGTAATAAATGCGGCTGTTAAAATGTCCAGAACGAGTTTCCATTTTATTCGTACGACTAGACCGTGAATTTTATGCATTTACTGCAAACACGAGCATAATGCAACGCGAAAATAGCGTCTGAAGAATTCAGAAATACAGTTATTCTATTGTTCAATTATTTGATAAAATTCTAATAAATCAATTTCAATTATTTCAAGAAATTCTAATAAACCTTTCTTTCAATTATTTGAAGAAATTCCAATTTTGTATGAACTATTCCTACTCTGTCAGTAACTTAGACGATTTTTTACGGAAATGTTGCGCAACAAATTTTCGCATTTTTTAAACGATTACACTCTTTCACGTTTAAACTTTATTAAATCATTCGACGAGCGTTGAACGAAAAATTCCGAAAAATATTTCATGAACCGTAAACGATTACGAAGGAGACGCTCAATGCTTTGCGAAGGAACAGGTGGAAGTACATGTAGCGATAAACTTCGGTTCTTCAATGTTATCCTATATTTTTAATGCCTTAATCGGTGGGGCTAGCCGCAGCCTATAAAAAAGTATGAGGCTACGTATGCCGAAAAGATTTTAGTTTTAAAGTGTCTTCTAAAAATACCTTCTAAGAATATCTGTTCGCTGTGGTTCGTAATCTAATAAAGTGATAAAACGCTTTTCTTCGGTTGACCTTTTACACGCAGTGTTTCGTTCAACTGAACATAAGAATATTTAAATATTTAAATTGTGAACAAAAAGTATTAGTATTTGAGGTTTTCGAATTAAGATTAATTTGTATAGTGTAACTAGAGTCTTTCCAAGCATTGAAAACTTACGGCAAATTTAGTTTTTTTTTAATGTAATGTTAACCTGTTATATTTTTTCTGATAACTTTCCAAACCTTCTATGATTGTGGGATATTTTCTTCGTGGCAAAGTTTTCTGGAAAAATTGGGATAATCCATATGTGGCTATACAAATAGTATCTTTCAGTGCGCTTAAAATTTGTAATATTCTACAGTCTCATCAGGATTTTCCTAGTGAAACTTGAACTGTCCTATCGCTCGAGTACCTTTTTCACTTTAAGTGTTCGAGTTACGGAAATTGTTTCCTTTCATAGATAAAACTTAAATGATTCGTTATTGAACAATGAGACTCGAAAAACATGTACTTTCTTATTTATAATGTTAGATACCTGGCTTTCGACGAAAATATTATATTACTAACCAACTCAGTAAAAATTCTAATCAAAATTAACAGATTACATTTTATAAATAAAAATGCTTATTCGCTATCCCACATTTCGCTAGTATGAATGATTCAATGACAAATGCTTTTTTATATTTTGACATTTCTCAGGTTTCAGCGTCGCTTCACTATTATAAGCGATTTTATTCCGTGAACATTAAAATTATTAGCGCTTCCTTTAAATTGGAACGTCTATTTTTCAGATAAACATGTAATTCTTCTTTGCTCTGAATTTTCATTAAAACATACGTGCATTCGTCCTGCGTGTGACGAGTGCATACTTCATTTTTTTTATTTTATTGCCCGCGAAACGAGAGATTTTTCAAGCTAAATTCCACGGTTAACAGGTTAAACCTTTTGTAAATAACAAAAATCCTGTTGACCAGTGTTATCGGCAGCGATATTTGTCTCGCGCGTTCAATAAGATCAGCCCGTAACTGAAATGGAGCGTGCAGTATGTTGATTTTGTCAAACACATGAGCGCCCGTTGTTCCGTACTATTAAGGAGTTATTGTCTTCGGGTCGATGTCGCAGCATTATTCGTGTTATGGCAGTTGGCATTCGAGCCACTTTTCACGTTAAAAGCTGTCTGCTTTCGCCAAGAATGTTCTTTTTATATCATTCTTGGGGGTGTCCAATGACCAATCGATATTTTCCATGCGTCGTGTACCGGCTTTTATTGCCCCTTACAACTGCGTTTCCTGAGATGCATCATTTTTATTAACTAAATTGCACCGAGCCCCCGTGCACACGACTTCGCACGCATGTGACTCGACACGCTTTCTTCTTCGCGTGTACACCGTGTATACATGAGACGCGCGCCTAACCGGTCCGCGAGTATCGCGATGACACGTTTGAAATCTATATCTGAAATCTAAATCTACTTCTCGGGTTTTTTTTTCGAATTTTGAAATTAACGTTATACGATTTGAGGATAATCTTCCGTGTTTCATGACAGAATTACGCGGTGCAGTATGAATTATGAAATATTTAACATGTCGAATGTTGTACGATTTTAAGGTGTAGAATATACGAAATGAAAAAAGTACGACAAATTATTTAATTGAATCGCGTTGTTACTTCGCAGGTTCGTCTGGCTGAATTTACGATATAGGAATGTTTTCAAATAATCATCGTTTAATTGAGGGAATTACAGTAATTGAATTGGGGCGGGAGTCACCGGTGACCCTCATGGCATTCAACGTGTTAATAGACCAAATATAAAATATATAGATCGAATTAATAGAACAGAACAGAATAATATAGAACATACAGCCATAAATCGATAAAATACAAAGAAAAAACGCAAATCACGCACATACAGCACTTTACATCGATTATATTAATTCTCATTCGTCCAATAAGGTCCTATTATCCTATTGATTTTTCTGTTTGAAATTATATACGTTTTTTATGTTATTAAGAAATGTAGACGTATTTAAACAACAATTGTTCCACGTATTTCCAGTTTATTTTGTAAGTGAGTGACTAGCTGATTTCAGTGATTATTCAATAATATCTAAGTATTTGCAATGATATTTAGAAAATGTCAATTTATTTTAAAAGTCAATTTATTTTATGTTAAAAGATTAACGTTTCGCCCGAGACACCTTTATAGAATTTTTCTAATTGAAACGCTGGTACTTTCCTCTGCAAAGTCATTAGAAAATTGTATCACTGGCAGAAGGAAACACTTATAAGATTACCATTAAATTGCCTTAACTGCATTGCATTAGATTAAAAAGGTAAAAAGCACACAATTCTATGATTAAAATGTAATTCTAACGAAGATACAGAGTTCTATTAGCGTTCAGAGGTCGATATCGGGTAGACCATTAATTCTGACAAAGGTAGACATTGTCATATTTTAGTACTGGAATTGTCTTAAAGAGAAAAAAGAACGACATGATGTATTCACTGAATGTATTCCATTTATTAATGATTGAAATAAAAATTGAAATTTGACGAAAAAGACATACTTTACGTTGATAATGATAATAATGAAACAAGTTAATAATTAACCACATTAACAATGACAATAGTACTTAGATTTTATGCATTTATGGGGAATCTGAAAGTTCAACATTGTACAAAATGCACATGATTAAAAAGAAATGTATAAAGTAGCTAAATTATAGTGACTTCTTAGTCTGACTTGAACTCGGTAGAAAAACTTTGAAAGGAATCAGACCGAACATTTTACAAGAAGAATAAGAAGATACTATAGTTCCTTGTACTTAAATCGCAGGCAGAATATGTGGGAAAAATGGAACTTTGATTATTATTCATGACTTGAAGAAGAAAACAGAGGGGTTTATCTTGGCGTAGTATCAACGTCAATTGCGGAACCAGGTATTCTTGCCAAAAGGGTTTTATTCACTGTTTCATGAGACGTGAAAGGGGTAGTATACTATGAATAGTTAGAATCTGATTAAACTATCAATTCGGTTCGTTACCGCCAGAAACTCGTTCATTTGAATAATGAAATTGAAAGGAAAAGACATTTATTTACTGGTAACAAATCTGGGGAAACAATTTTGCGGCGTAACAACGTTTTGTCGGGCGTTGCAAAAGGAAAGGTGCGTTATTTTATTACCTATTTCGATCTTTCCAACATTATTCGATGGACGTAGACTAACTTTAATTCTTCCACGGGACTCGGTTTATTTATGCATTTGAAATATTGTTAGAAAAGATATGTAAAATATTCGTACTAAAATCAGAACATGACTAAATCGAGAAATATTAAATTGAAAAAGCTAGAAAAAGGAAAATGTGATTAAGTTAGAAAAAAGGTATAAAAATGTGTTAGTAAATTTGTTGCTTTAAAACCGCCATCTTCATAATTGAAAAAAGTCATCAGTTGTTTTATAGTAGAACGAAGTCATTGAAGGTAATGACAAATATTTAGAGAATTGAAAAACGTATGATCTTTCTTTCGTCTGAATTTATTTGAACAAATCAGAACAGGAACCTTCTACTGTGGACACTTTTTATCTTCACCTGCAAATGAGATTCTTTTATTTATATTTTTATCTTACGTAATATAAATATTTATTTTATCTATAGTGTACGAGTTCTTACAGTTCATTAGACTTTGAAAATATGTGTCTCCTGTTGATAGGATAATTTTCTCCCTATTTTAATATTGCACGATACGAATACGCTTCGAAAGCGATTGATATTGATACTTCAACCTTCATGGAAAGTGAAAGCCATATTTCCCACCTGCTATTGTTTTTACTTGTGACTAATAATGCATTAAAACGTCTACCATGTGATATCGGGACTTTCTAGACATTTTTTTCTGCAAAAGTATCCGTTCCGGAGTTTCAATTATCGTTTTTCTATTTAGAAACTCCTGTCGCTCCTGACCTTTAAGTTGTGAAAACAACGTGAATTTTGAAACCAGAGAAATTTTCGTTACATAGTTGACACTATTGCTATACAGAGATATTGAAATAAATAAAAATAAATACAATAAATTCTTTTATTGCTCGCTACAAACGAGACTATTTAACATCAATCGATCATTTCCAGAATTCCGTACTTAAAAGTTAAATTCACGCCCATGCATAAACGTTAAAATTACTTTTTTCCCTATTGACTGAATGTCTGATGACTACTCGGTTTCATGAGCATTTCAAGAGAACTCACTGCAGTTGTCTTTCCATTGCAGCCTCAGCACAAAGGAAGATACATCCTCGAATATGTATGCAAGCAACTCAATATCATGGAAACGGATTACTTCGGACTTCGATACGTGGATCACTGCAGACAAAGAGTAAGCTTGCTTTGTATACCAATAACGTAGTTACTACCTACTTAAAATGAACAGCACTATTCGTGGATGAAATGGAAACAACGGAGCAGCAGAAATACTTGTAGTATTCATTAATATTATTACAATATGAATGAATTACAGAATGTAACCTTCATTAATTCTTGCTCAGTGGTTTCGCTTCATCACATTTGCAGTTGCGTATCCAACATATGCATAAAGACCAAGCTATCTTGTGTTGTTTATTAATAATTTAAAAAATAGCATCGGTGTTTCGATAGTGATACACCAACAATGATAATAATAATATTCATATCATTCTGATTACTTACTAAGTGTCATACTGTTTTGTTTCAGCACTGGTTAGACCTGGCAAAAGCGGCAATTAAACAAGTTAAAGGTTAGTTCGTACTTTTATATGAATCAATTTTTATAAACGAATTTATTATCACAAATACGAAAGATTATTTTATTAACACTTTGTTTATTCATACCTATGTCTGAATGTATTGCATCAAATTTTTGAATTTATAATCAGTCGTTCGTGTATTCGAGCTTTAAGTACTTAAGTAACTATACGTCAAGAATACAAATGACTTTGTAAGTCACTTTTAGAAGTATAACGCAAATTTACTTATATTCGCGAAAAAATGAGAGTCATATTTAGAAAATGTTTATATTCCGAATAATTGGGAGAAAATGCAAATGATTACAATCAAATATCAAATAATTGAAATTAAATTTTGAAATAATTAAAATTTCGCGTAAAATCGTTCTGTTTTATGTTGTATTTACTAGTTCATTGTTCAACATATACTAAACGAGCGTAACGTTATGTTCAATGCCAACATTGTCACAGCCGATATAATTGATTATAAACCTGATGATTTTTCTTGAAATAATAATTTAATCGACATCTGTGCCCCGTACACAACGGATCAAAGGGAATGAACGTGAATTCGATTGCATGTAACAATGAACAGCTGTGACCAAGGCTTTGGTTGCAATTTCTGTTCTATAGTCATTCATTGTGGGTCGATGTCACATAAAACTTTTAGAGTGTAGAGACACATTGTACTATTCTCATAGATGAGTAAACATACTAGTGTTGATTTCGGTAACGATTCTATTGCTCGTTCTTCGGACGAAATTATTTGCTCGTGAAAGCTACGAGAATCAAATTCTTCAAATTATTAATTACTCAGATTATTTACATTAGTGCGTAATTTAACATTGACATGATATTTGTATATTGACCACGATATCACAGCGCGATGTTCAATTTTCGCGTCACCTGTGTGTTTAAACGTTTCGGGGTTTTAAGTAAAAAATTAAATAAAACTGGTTTACTGACATTGATACTATAGTTACGTAACACTTTAAAGTTTACACTTCTGATTATATCGTCTCATTTAAGTAGGCACAAATGAAATTTCAAGTCTTTTTTAAATTTCTCGTTTTCATGTTTTAATGTCGAAAAAGTGTTTGTTTTGGACAAATTAGGTATTCGGATGAACAATACGGGTAAATTGAAATTTTTCGTTTTGTTAAATAATGCAACAGATAAGTTACTATTTAATTTATCTTTACAGTAAAGAATTTTTTGGAAATCTGCTTACATAATAAAATGTATCACTTAAGATTCTTAAATATCAGATAAACTCAATTTTTCAACCCCAATTTTGAAATCTATTCTGAAACCTTTAACATGAACGATTGGTAATGCGAAAGAATATGTATATTACCTATATTAGAGCATAAAAATCGTCGTGTATTATTCAGATGGTGCCCTTCGCTACAGAAAAATACGAAACGTTCAAAAACATACGCAGGACCAAAGTTATCTACGATAATATAGTCTTTCTTTATGGTTCTGTTTCAGACATGGACCCAATTCTGTTCAGTTTTCGCGTAAAATTCTATCCACCGGATCCTCTCAGGTTAAAGGAAGAAATATCTAGGTATCAGATTTACCAGCAGCTGAAAAGGGACCTCCTTCATGGGCGACTGTATTGCAGTCCAGGTGAAGCAGCGCTGCTGGCGGCGTGCATTGTGCAAAGTACGCCGATTTAATTCCAAATAAAAATACCCAAACCACAAATTTTCACCGTTCCCCTTTATTCGGTGCCATATATGCAAACACCAGATAACCTCAATAAATATTTCGCAGTTTTCAATGATAGAAATATTCAAAACGCGCGTTAAGCTTCAAAACATTCATTATTTGTTTTATAATCGATAAAATTTTTTTATCGTTCTGTATTTTTCTTTCTGAATTGGTTAAAATCAAATTGATCAGTTACAAAATATTTATTTCCCTTGACACAATTGATTAAATAATCATCCGGTTACAACAGAATAATCGAATAAAGTTTATTTTAGAAAATACTTTGTTTCCTCAAACGACTTTGCTATCACAGAAATAAAATTGCTCGTACGATAACGAGAAGTTTTTTAAAGAAAATTAATTTGATTTGAAATTCTGATGTAACTCTTTGCACTCGGAAATTTTTTACCAGAAACATTCAAAGTTTTCTAATGAGATACAGATCAATCTCTCTAGAAACTAACTGAACGACAAATTACACATAAATTAAGGAACAAAGTTATTTTATTTTAATATTTCAATAATTGATGCGTTATACATGGTTTGATATTAAATATGAAAGCTTATAATTTTACTGTGTCGACTGACAGTCGCCTCTCGAGTGTAAAGGGTTAATAAATGAATGTCCGGAGATAAGCAATAGTTTCTGGGATATTCCGGTGTGCCCCGCATTATATAGCTCAGTGAAGCAATTCATTAACGTCCTGTCGCAATTAATTTTAGGTGAATTGGGTGATTATGATCCTGAAATGCACGAAGGAAATTATATTTCCGCGCACAAATTGCTGCTCAAACAGACAGAGACCATCGAAGAGAAAGCTATGGAACTGCATCAAACACAGCTAAAAGGATTCACGCCGGAACAAGCAGAGACTCACTTCCTTAGGTTAGCTTCTCAGTTGGATACGTACGCTGTTGATCCGCATCCCGTTAAGGTAAGATTGGGAGTTTAACATTTACGAGGGTCGGTCAACATGTAAATCATCTCCTGGACCCTTTAAGTTTTAGTTTGAAAAAGATATTTAGTTGCTACTACGTAGGCGACGACAATAATGTGATATTATCGTTAATAGATGAATGGCTGAAAGTAACAGTAGTCTAACTTCTATTTATAAGTTTTCGAGAAGAAGTTATTGCAATATATTCTTGAATTAATTGAATGGTAAAATGAAAATTATTAATATTAGTAAATACTTAATTAATCTAAGAACATTTCACAAGAAAAACAAGTCTTTGCAAAATATCCTTGAATTAATTGAATGATAATACTGTATAATAGGATCTAAAAAGAGTCAAGTAACTAATATGTATAGTATAGAGCATGAGATTTTTACGCAATAGCCACATTGTTAAGGTATTAACGTGATACCGGAATGTCGAACTGGAATTTTCGGCAGTCGCAATATTTAAATTAGTTTCCTGATGAATATTTACTAATCGACGACTGTGTAGGAAAATAATAAATGAATATAATCTCATAGTGACAGTAACAAAGGCTTAATGATAATATTAACGACTCGGTTATATACGCACAGCTCTACATGTGTTTGTATGTACATATCATAATATATGTATGCATAAGTAGGTGGGAAATCGAGTAAAAGTGAGAAAGACATTATATCGTTGTAGCCCTCTAGTGGCGAGCGCAAGAAGTGCTGTCATATACAAAACTAAGTAACATTATATTAATAAGAATGTTCATTGTTAGATATTATTATTGAAACTACAGCTTTAATTTTTTTACACATGGAATTGTTTCCCCTTTTCTGTTGGCAGGACCAGAAAGGTGTACAGCTTTATCTTGGTATTAATCACTGTGGCATTCTAACGTTTCAAGGATCTCGAAAAACACATCATTTCCGCTGGCCGGAGGTTCAGAAGATCAACTACGAAGGAAAAATGTTTATTGTGCATTTAACAATAAGTGAGGTAAAAACTCGTTCAACTCTATACCTTAGCTATTTTATTATTTAATATCAGTGAATTTTGATCGGTACCTTAATAATTTAGTTAAACGATTAGGAAAATTGAACTATTAATTTCAAGTAGAAACTTTATATTGTTTTATTTACTATTTTCGACTAGAAAAGAGGTATGGAATAGACATCCAATGTATTTTTGTCATAGATTAAACATAAATATCATAAATAATAATAACACTGTGACAGTTGTATTTGGCAGTACAATTGTGTAAAGTATTATTAGTTTCAAGAATTATCCTTCTTGTGAATTATCCTTAAACTGATTCTGTAGATGTAAAAAATGTATTAAGTCAATAATTTCATCTAAAAACATGTAGGATAAATCAGTTATTTAGATAAGAGATACATTTAGTCTCATTTAGTCTCATTTAGTAGTTGATGAAGTTTCTGTATTTTATTGCAAACTTATTTATTGAAAAAACTAAATCTGGGGTTAAATTTGTTTACATTAAACAAAAAATGTTGTATGCTGTTCCTAATTTTATATTTTCCTATTTTATTGTTAGTACAGTTGAATTCGCCCACAAACCAATGAAATTTGAGATTCTTCGTATACAATTAATTCTTTAACGATTAAAATTATGTCGTTCGCATATTTTACTGCTGTCTTCACTCTAAATACTTCAAAATTGTTCAAATAACATATCAAATAAACATAAAGTAAATTAGATACAAATTTTTTTTGAAATACAACAATTTTTATACTTCTACATTGAAAATTAAACTGAATTCTACATAATAATTATTCCTTTTCATATAATTACCTCTGCATACGTGTACATATAGAATACAACGCTAAATGTAGAATAATTAAGTAATTATGAAACTTGCACTAATTCCGAAATTGAATAAAATTTAATATTCTATTTAGTAAAAATTATATAACAAAAATTGTCCAAATGTCGGTATATGTTTAATATATTGAACTTTAATTGCAAATATTATCAACCTGTTAAAATTTTATATTATAAAAGTATTACATAATCAAAATATAATCGCTGTAACTGAAAAGTAACGAATTATCGATATCATTTTATTTTTAATCTCTTATTATTTTAATAATTTTAATTATTTTTTAAGTAGTAGAAAAATTCTGAATATTGGTTAATGATTAGAGTTATTATTTCAACCGTTTCCTCGATATGAGGCAACAACCGTGACCCAGTGACTGAACATAGCTTATAGGATTATTAACTCGACAAGTCTTCCACTCATTTGTAATGTAACCACATTTCCACGAAAGCTTTACATTTTTAGATTACATTTTTTTAGAAACTGAAAATAACAAATATTTTTCATAACTCAAATAATACAACTGATTGATGGTATTCTAGATATATTTAATTCGACAAATACTACTGTTTTATTAATAATTTTTAAATTAATTATATCAGTATCTGAAATTTTGGTAAATGTAGAAATATATTTTAAACAAATTATTGTTGTATCTACATAAACTTAATAATATTTAAAAACTTACACGTTTAAACAAATATATTCAAACAAGATCATATTTAATTACAGATTTAGATAAACGCACAAAGAATTTCCCTTGAAAATGGTATATAATTGGAAATTTAATGTCGCTGTCCAAAATGAAATTTCAAATCCCGCCTATTCGGAAACTAAAGTTAATCTAACAAATAATTGTCCATTATTTGCAAAAAGCGAAACACAATCGCACTGAAATAAAATAACAAACAAAAAGGAGCAAATAAAAGAATCATTAATAATTACTATACATTAAAAATATTTATTAAAGTAACTCTAGTACTAAACTTCAATAAAGTTCGTTAACTTTATTCGAGTTTGGTAAAGTGAACAAACTTTTAGTTACTAGGGAAAAAATAAATAATACAAGGCTGTGATACAAAAAATGATGAAACTTTTGTTTTCATTTGGGGATATTAATACGCGGAAGCTTAATCTCTCTGAGCTACTAATGAAGTACGTTTGGCAGGGAAAGAAAGTCGATTCCGGGTTCCTCGGAAATGTTGCTCCCCAAAGGGTCGAACTGGAACGCTTATTAGTTTCTCTCCCCTTTAAATATTACGCCGAGAACTTTTCAATATGAGAGTTCCCCGCGTCAGTCCGTACATGTATATTGTCCGCTCGATATTGTTACGGGTTCAACTAATCTTATTATTTTCCACTGCTGGGCCTATTCAGGACGTGAGGACGAAGGTGAGTCGTTTCGTAGCAGTTGCACGGGTTATACATGTTTCTTAACATAGTTTTCGGAAGTATATATTTAGACTGATTGTTGTCACGTATCACGATCGGATTGTTACTTTAAATTAATACGGTCATTAGTGTGCGAATGGACAAGGCTATTGTGTTATTACCGCTAAGAGCTCCGAATAAAGCTGTTGTGGCCAGATATATCAATGAAACGGCGTCGTTGTTTGAAGTCATTTAAATCGGTAATTCGCTTTCGTTTCCTGGTACTTCTTTAACCCCTTGCGTTTGAATTCATTAACGCCGGCCGCTGGGTCGGTCGCCCGCAATTATTCGCAATGAAGGGAAGCCGCTGAATCTGCCCAGTTAAATATTGTATCTGATTTGTTCCTCTTCAAACTAATTTTTTCAAGTGAATCCTGGATGTTATACTTTATTCATTTGTATTCCAAATTTTATTCCATTTCTGTGGATAACAGCCTGGTAATAATCATTTCTTTATGATAATCACTTGATAAATTTTATTCAACTTATGCAGCTGATAATAATCTGAACATTGACAGTTTAATCCCTGTATAATATCCAGGATTTTATTTGATTTGCAAATTTATAATAATCATGTTGTAAATTTTATTCTCATGCAGATAATAATCTAACAATACACAATTTCATTGTACGTATAGTATCTAGGATTGTGCTAATGCAGGTTCTTCGTTCGATATTTCACTTCCTTCTTCTATATGTAATACAATTCCTATCATAAATATTGAATCAATGTTTTCTTTAAATATACGGATGTCCTGTAAAAAACTCGTGTTGAATAATGTATCCAACGAACCGAACATAGTTCGCGTGTCATACCAGCTCTCATTAGAGTCCGCTATCGCGCCTTCGTAATAATTAAATCCCGTAATTATATAAAAACGATTAAAATCCATTTCAAACCGTTATATAACGTAAGATGTTTTTCAGGCTAATTGGGTTTTGTAATTGTTTCGTGTGGTAATAAACAGAACTTTTTATTGCTTGGACTTTGAGTTATAATAGGAAAGCGTGAACGACACTCATTTATTAAGTAGCATGATTTCAGCGACTTTCCTGTGATACAGTAACAACGAACTAAAATTTATGCGTGACGTGTTGGTTGTTCGTGGGAATACTTGTTTGCATTGAACGCACGGCCGGCGAAGTGTTAAATGATCATTTGTGGATGATGAAACATCTTGAATTAATGCAATACATTTTGTTCAAAATGTATTTATCAATGTCCGACAATATTTCATTCGAATAAAAAGTAAAAGATAAGAAAAGTGAACAAAACTGTTTTCATCCAATCTTTTTATAAAAAAATTGTATTTTGCATTAATGAATAGTTAATTGAATCAGAATTTATTTATACTTTCTGCTACATATGCAGTGAGTCACCAAAGCATTCGAATTCCTTCGAATAAAGAGTTTTACATGCAAGAAACAATTTGAAATATAAATAATATATTGAAGTTTGTGATGCAATTTTTGTTTTTTCAAAAAAAAATCAAATTTTCTTCGTTAGCTTCTCATTTACATTTCCCGTAAAAGGTATTATATTCATTGTTCAGAAGATTTCGAGAATATTAGGTACGTTTCTTGGCGTGATTCGGATGCAAGGGGTTACATCTGAAAATTGTACGAACGTACAATCACGTAGAAATTGGTATTATCTATAACTAATAATTTCTTAAATGTTGTATCGTTAATATTCCGATATCAGTGCAAATGTGTGTAAGTAATACGAATAACTACGGAATTATTCTATTAGTAGTGACGATGTTTAAGTGGTGTGTATTCATAGACACTCGATTTTTAAGTAGTGTTCGTATAATATTTGTCGTGAAACAGTTTTGGTGGGAAAGTCTGTTGATTTTTACCGTCTGCGTGAAATATATATTTTTCCATTCTTGTTAGGTTGTTGCACGTGAGTTTTGGTCAATTTTGTTGATGATTGTTCATACCGTATTCATTCTTTACACGTCGAACACGTTACTTCTTCCTGACATCACGATTTATAGTCGCTTATAACTTAGATTTTATTTATTTAGAATTATTTTAACGATGGTTCCAACTTATCTCGCAGCAGATGTAGAAAACTTGAAACAGATGTCCTGGATGTTTTCTCTATTTTTTTAAGACACAAACGAACGTTTAGCGTGGATATTTAATTGGCACATATTGACACTGTTTTAACACGTTCATGCTGGCATGTACCACCGGTGATACACAACTAATTCACAACATTAAAATAAACTAACGTTAGTTTCCTACATTATTTATTAAATTATTTATTAACATTTATCCACAATTAGCAAAATATTCAGTATCTATCATTCTATGTGCAACAACCTGATAGGATTATCGATTTCATCGAGTGAAAATTTTTCATTAATTCGTTCGAATTCTTGAAACACAGTTTCCATAGTGTTTCCTTTAACCCATTTCTCGCTAATTGCAAAAGCAGACTTAAGAAATAACATTTTAATGATTTCTGCTGATTCAGTATCCATTCAATACAATTCACTTGTTTTTCCAATTTTGTGTTTTCACGTTTCAAAGAGGAGCAATCGTAATACGAGGAACAAATGCAATTTCAAAAGCTGTCCAATTTTTTGACAAAAACACTTTACTCATACTAAAAAAAATAATACTTATTTAAATATCTGTACATAGCAATAGTAACAACTATATAACGAAACTTTCACTGGTTTCAAAATTCCCGATATTTCCTACAGAGACCGCATGTCCATACCTAAAGGTTAAATTCTGTTAAAAATCTTCAAGGGGTTAAAGAATGATCAATTTTCTAGTGCAAAGAGTGAACGCATCACCGGCGAGAAATGGGTTATCAAAATCCATATAAATATCCGCGGGAATACGAGGAATTAGTGTCCGAACATCGAGCTAGCGATCATTCGGAGACGATTTAATGTCTTGACAGAGTTACTTACACGTAGTCGTAGTTCATTGAATCCATCGTACAATAGTGTAGAGGTTTTTTAGTGCAACGTTTTTCCCCGCAATTTTCAGAAAAAGCACACTGTTGGGTTTAAGTGTCCCACGAGGTCTAACTGTCGCCACGTATGGAGATGCGCCATCGAGCAAATGTTATTTTTCACGTATGTATTCTTTTATTCAGCTGAAACCGCTTTCAATGTCTTAGCACGGACGGTCGCAGAGCTTCCAAGCACTTTGCAGCGTTTAGTATGCGGAAAACAGTCAAATGGTACTTCGGTAGTAGCGTGTAATATTTACCATTTCCAGTTTCCTGTATGCTTTGAATCATTGGAAAGTAACATTGTGTCTTAATACTCTCTAATCCTTCAAATTGTCTCGCTATTTCTTCGAAATCTCGATTTTAACCCCTTCCCTTAACGCGGCGTCTCCGAGACGTCGTCGGTTTCGAATGATCGATAATTACATTTCAAATATGTCACACGAGTGTTTTTTTTTCTTTTAAACTATTCATCATGTTTCTCTTTCTGTTTGTTACGAATACGTTCACTATAAAGTAGTAGAAATTATTTCGTATTTCATCTTTTCTTGTGTGGATTGTTAGCCGATATTAAATGACCGGATTTACATTGCAAGGGAAAGGGTTAACCATCATCCTCTGCATACCATTAGTACAGTAGAATATTCTGCTTCCGAATTAACCTTCGGACGGCGGCGCCTGGGTCCCTTTGGACCCATCGTTTCAAAGGCTTCATCTAACTTCTCATCTCCTGCCGGCTAACCGAAGCTGTTAATTAGTTTCTCAATCGAACTTCATCTTTTTTCATATATTTTAACCTTCGACAGGTGATACTCGATTTTCATGGGTTAAACACTAATTTCGAAAATGTATTTTTTGGTTTAATTGCCTTCAGTTCTTGAGAAACTTGCCTTGTTTCTAAAGGCGAATCGAATTTTCAGGTTTAAACGTTTTGCATGCTTCAACTGTAAATGATACGGAAACGTTTCTTATGGGAAATGACTTACGGACTCTCGCGGAAAACATTGTGTATATTTTTAACACTGGATTTACGGACATTTGCTGTGAAATTTGTTCTATTGTTTTTAGAAAAATTGATATTCATTCAGTTAGGTCTTGGAAATTAGAGGTTTCAAAGTAGATAATTAGGATATATATTTGCGTAAAATTAATCAAAACAAATCAACCAAATAATGTTTATAAAATTCAATACGTGTCAAATTGTCTCGTTTCATAAATCTAGTGTTAATACCTTAGGGATATTTAAAATGTTTAAGTGGTTTTTACATTTTAGAATTCCATTTTGTTCGAATGGTTTAAACTAAATTTTAAACTAAATTATATAAAAATATACAAGTACAGATCTTAATAGAATTTAATATCATTATCGATGAGGCCGTCGGGAACGTCTTCCGAAGTTTAATTAGGAAAGGCGGATGTAACAATATGTTGGCGATGATTTGTACGGTAAAACACTTTTTTGAAGACATTTTTAATAAACTTCAAAAGAATATAGGGAATACAGACATTCATAATCATTTTATATTAAACTGTACATCAACACGTACAATTATTTTACAAATAATATAAATTAACATTACAAATAATATACAAGTATTTTACGAATAATATAAAATTTGACTTAATATTCGATTATAAAGAGTGCTGTCGTATTTGTTTCATAATTACACATTATGAAACTATGAATTGTAGTAGGCACTACTTTACTTATAAATAAAAACATATACACTTATGGGACATCAGGCCTAGGAAAATTTTCCTTGAAATTAAGATGAAAATTAAATTATTTGAAATAATGCTCCAACGAAATAATATAATATTACTTCAAGAATTTTTTAAGATAACTTTCTTTGCGTAAAACATCTTTAAAAGGGCTCATCAGTGAGAGATTTTGATTTAGGGATATTGAATATAAGATAAAAGAAAAGAATCATTCATCGGTTGTTAACCTATTAAGATTATGCTAAAACAAAAGGAACCTAACTCAGACCTGACCTATTAAAATTACGCTATTTTAAAACAAAAGGAACCAGAACGACATTGCGAGATTCCCTTACACTTCGATTTCAAAATTACAAAGCTTTGCAATTGAAAACATGTACTCCTACGCGATGACAAAAACTGTATTAGTAGTTAGTGAGTGGTTGCATTGATCAGGCGTGATGGATAAAGCGTTAAAAATAGCATATTATATAATTGAAAATCAACACGTCTTTGACAAATGGAGGTACACCAAGCAGAGGATTGAAAAACTAAAGAATATCATGACCATTTGTATTGGTTATTTAGGAAGTATCTGCAGACAAACAAAGCCATTTTATTACTGAGAAGTATGTCGATTAAAATCTTACAATAGTTCAATAATTACAGGTGACCGAAAAGTGTTGAGCACGTTCGCGACCGGAAAATTTTTCGTTTTTCTAACATCATTACCGGTGTAAATGAAGAATATCTTAAGCTAATTGTAAATTCTAAAAGAAATTTATTTTAAAATATTAATCTTGTAACAATCTGTTTATAAATTTAGTGTTAAATGCTCGGAAAAATATGGAAAATTCTAAATCAAATTTTAAAACCGATCACCGTATGTTTATTGTTAAAGAAGTCGCAAATGGAAAAGAGTAAAAGAATGAAATATTTTAACAGTTGTTATACTTGAAAATACGTGAATTCACGTAAGCGGTCGCGAACGTGCTAATACTGTTCGTTATTCGTGTAAATGAAACATCCTGTACATCATTTCATTAAAAGTATAATACATTTCAGGGAGAAATTATCATACTCGTATATTACAGAATACATGAACAGCAAAAGACTATTCCAAACTTCCTCAACGCTACTGTATACCGCACATGTTTATCGAAACATGAACAGAGATATCACTTCTATTTCTAATCAAAAAGAAAGCAGTTCACACGACTATGAAATTGGCGTTCATCGCATCATCCATGCCTCAATACTCGCGAGACTTTAGGCTAAAGCATTTTCGAGAAAGGAAATTGATTAGAAACTCTTTGATTACGAAAACGTGTAGCACAATTACATATTCGATATCCCCCTCCGAGTGACGAGATATTTAAACTGTTCATGTCGATACTTTTTTATCCTTAGATTACCTAGAGCATCAGACGCGCCCGTCGTAAGCGGAGGATCTATATTCTCCTGGGGCACAAAGTTCAAATACACTGGGCGGACGGAGAAGGAAGTTTTAGAAGAGATGAATCCACGCCGAAAAGAAGATTCACCTACGGAACGATGCCAAACTTCGTGCGTTAGAAGAAAAGCTAGCAGTGTACCAGCCACGCCGAGTACTCCTAGTCAAGACCTCGTTGAAATAAGTCAGTACTTATAAATAAGTCGGGGAACTTTAGCAAATCGTTGATTAATAAATTCTACTAGTCCTCATTAACCCTTTCTCCTATAACATCGTGTCAGACACGCGATAAAAATGTTAAACTGAATTCGACCCATCTAAATGCTATTTATTTATTGTTTATATCAATGAAATATTACTTGTCCGTTGTCAGTGTTCAATCTTTAGTCAATTTTGTCTGTTTTCTATTAAATTACTGATGACGAGTATCATCGAGCACTGTGAAAGAAATCATAGGACAAAGGGTTAAACGTTACCCTGATGGTGATGATCAGAATACAATGATGTTCGAGATATATACACGCCAACGAGATCAATAAGTGTTTAGGATAATGGCGTATTTTGTGTTTCACGAAAGTTTCAAGGAAATGTGATAACAAGAAGTCATTTTCGAAAAGCTTGTAATATACAGTGCAGCTCTCACGTCTTAAGGAACGTCTACCAAGTTAAAAGCGCGCAAGAAATTTCACGCCAATGTTGTACATCTTGTCCTCGAGGTGACTTTGGGAGAGCGATTCGAGGCAGAAAACTGCACAGACATAATTTTACATAACTTTATTTAACAAGAACTCAGTACAAAAGTAGGTGTTACTTGTTTCCAACTATTAACTACCCTTGCAGCTTTTCCTCAGTACTTAAGCGATCTAGTTTAACACGTTGAATGCCGCACGATTTTATAGAGCAAAATATACAAAATGGAAAGAACATACTATTAAATCATTTAATTGAATTGCGTTATTATCATTACATGTTCATCTAGCTGAATATTACCGCATCAGGTAGCATTGTCTATAATATAGAGATATCTTCAAATAACCGTCGTTTAATTGAGTGAACTATGGTAGTTCAATTTGGTTGGGGGTCATTTGTAAAGGCATCCCTACCTCTCTGACTCTTCAGCTTATGGGTAGTCTAGCAACTAGTCGAACTATACCTACTACACAATCTCACCTTATCGCATTCTGTTTCGCTTACGTCCCTTGTTGTGCCACTCATCTAATAACAAGGACGTGTTAAAACCGAGGCGTCGTTGTTACCATAACTACCCTTGCCCCTGTGCACGTTTAGCTTTTAGATCGCGAACGTGAAAGCTGCACTGTAACACAAGCGTATGAGCGAAGAGCTCGGATGTTTATAATTACAAAAACATTCGACATGGAGTGTCACAGGTGTCCCGATCGCGACCATGTCCTAAACGAACATTCTTAAATTAGTAAACAAGGAAGATACAATGAAATATTTTGCGTTTTGATCGCAGGATACTCCAGTCTACCGCGCAGCTGTCACAGGGCAGGCTTGGACGGTGCCGGGATGTCAGAGGGCAGTTCGGGGATTCCGTTTAGCACGCCTTACTGTCCAGATAACACTTTGCCACTTCTGGAAACCGTTTCGGAGGACCAAGAGATTCATGCCAGAAGAAATAACGGTTAGTCGATTGAACGTATAAATTCTTGAACGTTTTGATTATATCTCGCCTACTACCTATTCTTTCGTTTTTGACTCGAGACGCATGGCTTTCAACGATATTTATTTTATGTATATAATCTTTATCTTAACCTGTTAACTGTGGAAGTTAGTCTCAACAATTTCTTGGTTCGCGCGCGATAACATAAAATAAAGCGAAAACGCAGGACGAATTTACCTAGGGTGATATTTGATGAACAAGGAACCAAGGCAAAGAAGAATTACGTGTTTACCTGAAAAAAAATAAAGAATTCATTGCTAAAAGAATTAGTTTCAAGCTTTAAGATGACGTTTATACTCCTCAAACGCAGTTAACTGGTTAATGCGCTATGGTACAATGAAATCGTAAGTAATCGATTGCGCGCATAACAATTATGAGAAGTATAAATAAGTTTCTCCTGGAACAAATTATTGAACTTGCCAAGTGTACTTTACAGTAGTAATTGATTGCAAAATATCGAAATGATATAGATACTTTTCAAAATTCTGATCGTTGCAATTGAGCCACGTGTATCAGTAGTGTCCTGATAAATGTGTCAATATCGAAGCGTTATCATTGCTGATTTTAAAAACTGCCATCGATACATCGATGCATATCAATAGTATCCTGAAAGATGTTTGATCGCAAAATATCGAAGTTATCCGATTCCTGTGGTTAGATCTTTTTTAAATCCTCGTTACTGTGATTGTTCAGTATTTCAGTAATGACGTAAAGATAGTATTTTCTTACGCGACAAGTGAAAAACTTTATTAATCAGAAATGTTTCGAATCTGATCGTACATTGAATATTTTGCATTAAATTATTGATAACTTGGTGCGAACGTCGTCAAGTGCTCGTTACTTGATATCTTCTCTTCTGTTTCGCGTTAGAACCTCGATTGCTGTAGGAAGTCGAAGTTGAAAATGCTTGCGAGCTTCGAAATGCATGCAACTGTCGCGATACTCGATGAAACGTATGCAACTCTCACATATTTTTTGTTCTCGAAGCGACGAAGTTGCGTTATGTTAGATATTTGAAGTTTATAATTTCTTCTTCACCTATATATATATACATATCACTGTTACTGTTGTTATATACATTTTCATTACCAAGTGAATGTTACCTATGTCGTTCGAAGGAATACAACAAACGAGGTTCGCCTGTAAGTATTAGAACTCCGCATTAATTATCTTCATTCTCTTCTTAGTACTGTCGCTTTTGACCGCAGTTTGATGAAAAATGGCGAATTCTTAACGGAATAAGAAGAAATAATCTTTCTTTCGTATTCGTCATTTCAACGAGGAAAGGAAATCAGATCTTTCTGAATGAAAAATTTCATTTCAATCCGAGGCATTAGCTAATTAGAGGTCAAAGAACTGAATATACAGATTTTCATTTCTTAACACTTTATCTACCGTCCCTGATCTGTGAAATTTAGTTTCAATAATGAACGTAATCGTAATCGTCGAACTGTCGGGTTCCGTAAATCAAGTGCTAAGAAAAATTGATCTTCTAATTTGTTTACTTTTATTTCGTACGTTTGATGTTGAAGTACCTCTTGGTAAAAATAGGTATACACGAAAAAGAGCGGTAAAAATAGTGTTAAGTTCCTGTTTCCACGTTTTCGATGTCTGGTTTGGATTTTCTGTACCCATGAACAGGATTGCCGCTTACCTTGCATGTCCCGGAAGTCTTGCAGTTAATCTTGCAGAGGCTGACCCTTCAAGCGAGCTGATTTATCCACGTACAGAACCATTTATTTCCGATGATCATGAAAAGTAACTTCGCTAAACTGAATACGTTTCTTGAATATCAATCTTTTTCGTTCGTTAACGAGTCTCTTCTTGATGAAGTCTCTTTCGAAACTATTAATAATAAATTTGAAAAATGTAAACATGTAGGTATAATTTTCCACGACAAAGATTAAATCAAACGTGACTCGGTTGAATTTTTACAGGTTGTAAAGAATTCTAATACTGAATGATATTTTTAAATATTCGTTCAAATGTCGTACTAAATGTATAGAAATATAGTTGTTGTTATTTATTATTAGAGGAAAATGTGGTAATGTAGTCCACTCGTGATTTTCGCTATAACAAAGGCATCTACTAGGTGTCTTTAGTTGCGTCTATTAGAATTGTATATAGATAAACAGATTTACACTAATGCATTATTTACAATAATATATACATATTCATTTTACCGTCACCTTTCGCCACAAGTAACCTTATTAATTTACCTACGTTCCACATAAAAATTTGAAGCAATTTAAGTTACGAGTCCAATTTTTAGAGAACTATAAACCTGTGGAGCCACGTCACCACCTTTTCCTTTATAACTTTCTTCTTCATAATTTTATTGTTATAGAAAATCTTTTATTCTGTATTTTGTCTCGCGAGCTTCCTCGCCACCCTTGTAAATATTTCACCGTGCATCAGGGACAGCCACGGTTTCTCGACCTCCTTATGCTATAATCGCTTTGCTGTCCCCGCCACATTATGTGACTAATTCATAGTATAGCTCTGCTGAGAATTAGAGAATACGGAAAGGAGAAGTCAAGCAGGGCAAGACGTTGAATCAGAGAATTCTGAGGAGAATTTTCGAGGAATTCTCGATTTAACCGCCTAAGCTTTGCCCATTCTATAAAGTGCTCATCTAATATTTGTAGTCGCTGGTACGGGAACACGGCGAATCTTCGCCAGGCGATTTTAATAAAACTTCGTGGATTTTGTAGAATAACGACAAAACTAATGGCACGACTCGTTTATAATTCCATTTCAATACTTCAACACGATACTATCGTAAAGATTATTTGAGAAACGACATTTTTCTTTGTGTTTCTATCAACAGAATTATTTTCAGTTATTTTCAGCGTGAGAACGTGTACATTAACAGATATTAACTTTTGCCATGCGATTTATTTTTGCAGTTATCCTCTTTGAGTCTGTATAATGCTTAACGATTAATCTATGTTCGTTGTAAGTTTAGGTTTATTAACCTCTTGTGCTGAAAAGACGCATGTCGTATTTTTGTTCCAAAATTGCCAACGGCATCTTACAAACATTGATAGTCTGGTTGCATTAGGCATACTAGGTTGTTTACATATTTGTAGAAATTTGTCTACGTATCCGTGTCAAATAAGTAAAAATAAAATTCTTCACGCAAGACTTTGTCAAATCTCTAAATTAAATTCCAGTGCAAGAGGTTAAGAAGATTAAATGTTCACAAGAGGAAGATAATATCTAATTTCTAATTGAAAGAAGAGAATAATGCTTGTATTTGTAAAATTTAGTTTCGAAACTTCATCGCGACTATTCAGAATTAAAAGCAAGAGTTTAATGACATTCCTGTTTTTATTCCATTTCTATTCCATTGCGAGGAAAATTTTAACTGAATTTCAGTCAAATTATTGACAAGCGTCGATGACATTGCTACTTTAATTTCACTATAAAGTGTATTTTAATCGACGAGGTTAACCTTTTGCATTCAAAAGTTTTTCACTGGAAATGTTCAACGTTCCGATGAGGTATAGGCGACTTTTTTTTAAACTAACTTAATAAAATCATATATAAATAAAAAAACAAAACACTTTCATTTCAATATTTCACATATTAACGCGTTATACAAAGCTTAACATTATACATCAAACATTACTTGCTGAAATCGAGTGGTGACTGAAAGTCACCTTTTATTGTAATTTATATCTTATTTTTATTTATATGAAATACTTTGCGAAAATTAAAATCGCTTGAATATCCATCGCTTCGCCGTAACCGCGTAGTGCCTGCGTGCCACGCGTTGAAATCTCCGAGCCGCGGCGGACTATGGGATCCATCATTACGCATTACAGTCTATAAGCAACAGTTCAGTTACATTCAATTAAATAACACATACACAGTGTGTCCAATTCTAACCTATAAATAGAATTATTTCCAAAACTATTCGTTACCCTAAAAATGTTTTAAATGCAATTTATTTTCTGTTTCGATGAGTTTTGAATGTGTATAAGTTAACACTTTCTTCGTAGAGAATGACTGCGCCGATTGATGCGAAAATAATTATACGACTATAGGGTAGACCGAGGCGAATCGAATTCACATAAGAATCGAGTCTACATTCGTTGTATCGCAAATTATATTTCCGATTTCTGTTTCTTATTTGCTAAAGGAAGATAAGAATGTCTTTTCCGTCTTCCATCATTAACGTTCAAGTACCTTTAGTTCTATGATGTGAAACGGAAACGGATCTCGCCTCGGTATACCCTACTTGAAAAAACAGTAGTATCTCTTACATCCCTTAGAAACGAAGTGTACCAAATTACAATCCTTTTAACTCTTTGAACTCTGTAGGCTCCAATATTGCACCACTTATAATATTAGATATTTTAATGAATCTTAAAGAAACTACCCTAAAATTATTAGATTTTGCACACATCCGAATTTTGTACTAAGAAGGAAAATAAAAGATCGAGGAAATGTTATAGCATTTCTCATTTCCGCTAGGAATACTATAAAAATTATTTGCAATTGCTGATAGATTACAAAACAACCTGGAGTGCTAAGGGTTAAAACAGAAGAAAACTTCATTCTCATTTCTTAAATAACGAACAATAATACCAGAGATAATCTCGTTCATAGATTAAAACGGTACACCCTGTATTCACCGATCAACGGTGACGAACTCCGGCCCGATGATAACGCTAGAACACGCAAACGAAAAAGGGGAACGAAAGAAAATCAAAACGAAAGAACAAAGGAAAAAATAAAGAATTGTACAGAACCGCCGCTTCTTTGGCTTCTTAGATCGTTGATTTGTCTTTTCCTTTTCTTTCTGTTTGTTTAGCCGTAGACGAAAATGATTCGCATGCGAGTGCCACCCACAACACCACCGCCACCACCACCACTACCACCACCTCCAACACCACCACAAACCGTGCGAAAGTTAGACTGAAATTTCCCAAGAGCACGCTGAATCGACCGCAACCGTTGTACAGTCAAAAGATAGTGATAGGCTCCGAGGAGTTAGTCGGCCGTGACATCGATTACGTCGTGCGGGAGCGTATAAACGCGCTCGAAAAGAGTCCGAAGGTGGTCAGATCGACCGCCCTAATAATAAAGAGCTCGAAGGTGTCGGCGAACTCGCCGGGGCCCGGTAGTGGCCTCGCGAACGACACTTACGTGTACCCCGGCGCCGATTCAGGGACGATCATCACGACGGTGATAGACGGTCAGCTCGATCCACACACCGGTAAGACGATCCTACGCAAGTCTAGCGAGCAGGTAAGCATGCTCGGCCGTCGAGAGAACGAGGTCTCGTCGCGTCGCGCCACTGCCACCACCAAAACGGCGAACGGTTGCGTCGCATCGGCGAGACTCGACGTCGGGGAGGTTAAAAACGGAGTCGAGGCGGCCACGCGGCAGGAGAGGACAGGTAAATTCGAGAACGGGTCGGTTCTCCTTTCATTTGCGACCGGCCCACGACAGATTCTCTTTTTCCCAGACAGCTGTTCAGTGTTGGGCGTATTGCTCCGATCGTTCGCGTGTTTTTGCACGGGAGATCGGTATAATCAGTGTTTGAAGCTGTTAGATGTCGGTTCTGGCTGAAACGGTTGTGAAGAACTGAAACATGTCTGGTTCTGGTTCTTCTGAACTGATTTATGTCGGTTCCAACACGGTTCTATAACTATTATTTTTCGGTTCTGGAAATAGTTACCACGAACCGAAAAATAAGAGGTTTGTAACTTACTAGCTTTTCTTTTCGATTTTGTTTTCTTTTGTATTGGCTGACTCTATTTCATGATTTTCATTTGTGTAAAACGTGTCCACGTGAAAGTGGTTTTCGTAGAATTTTCTTTACGTATTTGAATAAAAATGTATTTTCTTTTTTTCTCTTTCTTTATTTCTTTCTTTATCGGTTGCTTTTTGTACTTGGTATTCTCAATGTTTGGGACGAGAATAAGGTTTTAGGAAACTTATTGTCTTGGAAATTTTTGGGGATAGATGATTGTAAATGAAAACATGTTTTTTAGCGCGTTGAACCCAATCGACGCTCGTTAAATTACTTAGAATATATTCAATTCAATTTTCCTCGGAAAACAGGAATTGAATACAATAAAGTTTAACCCTTTAAGTCCCAAATAAAATATTCAAAAAAACACATTTATTTTCACAATATACGTTAAATAACTTATTATAAAATAAATATTTCTACGAAAAATGCTATTCCAACTGCAAAAAAATAAGTGCTTATTACCATATCGATTTTATACTGATGCCTTCAAAATTAGTATAAATTAAAATAGAACCCCCTTAAACTCTATTTATTCATATAAATAAATTGATTAATTACTACTACTATTCTTAAAATACAACCTTATACTTATTTATAAAATTTATTAGTTCATCACTAATTCTGATTTTACTGATATTGAAATATAAGGTTTCAAGGCGATGCCAAACGGAACTGAAGGGTTAAAAAAACAGTAATACTACTGCAACATTTCGCAAAACTCACAAGACATATTAATCACGCCGAATACAAATACTTCGAATATTAATCGAACGATTGTTCCGATAAGTTTACATTCGTTCGACTATATCTACTCGTTATCATAAAATAAAAAGTTTGTCCAGCACTGAACGCAATATGGGCTCCCAACTTTCTGTTTCTCTTTCTGTTCATTCTTTTTCCATCGTAGTGAATGTTCTTTGCACGAGTATATTGATCGACTGTTCATTCAGTATATTTTCATTTCATTATATTCCGTTACGTTCAGTTCTATTCCTTCGCATACAAGATTAATCAGCATGAGCTTGCGCCTTTCAACTAGAAAGATACTCTGCGCTTGAACTTTAGACAGTGGATTTAGGCAGGAAATTCATCTGGAGGTGGGTAAACGTTTCGTTAACTCGGGAGTGCATGCACAGGGTGAAATTTACCCCAAAATGTTAAAACTGTCTTCTACGAATACATGTAACGTAAGAATTTTGTCTGTATGCAGAACATATAAAACCTTTTTATGAATACATGTAACGTAAAGATATAAATAAAGGTTTTTTTATAAATACATGTAACATAGAGGTGTAAGTAAATTTTCTACGAATATATGTAACATGGAAGTTGTTTTTGTTAAATATTTGTTTATTTTTTGGATAAAGAATAGACGTAATATTTGATAAATGCTTCATTTTTCTATTAATAATTTATTATGGGCGAAAGGCGTTCTATATTCGTTCAAAATCTATGTTTATTCCAGCTGAACTGAAATAATTTATTATTTATATAATAATTTCTCTGAGTATCGTGAGATTAACTATTTGCGGTCGAATGTCGCTACATTAATAACTTCGAGCTTTCGTATCCAAAATCGAAAGTGGTAAGTAAATAATTTAATCATTCGAATAACGGAAAATAATTCTTTTTGCTTCGTTTCATGAAAGATTACGTTGTCCTTGGAATTTCAAGTTTATTTTTAATTTCTTAAACGGAAGTATGTATTTTATATTTAACTGAGAGTTTCGAGATGTTTCACTAAACAGTCTGCTTTAAGAAAGTCGTTCTTTACGTACAAAACGTCGTTTGTTACGTACAAAATTGTTTATATTATATTACATAATATCAAACTCTATTTGCAAACCGTTCACCCGATATTCCTTTTTCTTATTAACCCTTTGCACTCGAGAGGTGACTCTCACTCACTTTATTTCATACAGTAGAACTATAAAATTTGATATTTAATAATTTAATAATTTATCGTCTTTGTCTCATCAGAAAATCTTGAAATATTACTAGTGAGAAACTTCAGAGTGCAAAGTGTTAATACTTGTCATCATCGCAGAACGTCTTTAAAAGGGTTTTAAATAATCGTAAAGGGTAACTTTCATCCTAACACATGTGCCCCTAAGTTAACAAATAATATATCTTTTAAGAAATTATTGGCATGACCAGTTCATCTCGCACGTGTACTTGACAATCTGTTATTCTGTTATTTGTGAGAATTGCTTTACCCAACTCCAGCATTGCTATATTTTTTCTTTTTAATATTAATAACCTTTTTAATCTGAAAAACGATGAATGCGTGTGTGACGTAAAAAGAATTCTATTCGTATGAAAGAAAGAATTTAATATAATATTTAACAGAGGTGAAACGATCGATTCGCAGCTTGAAATTTGAAAGGTACGAATTTCAAAGGTTAACTAAAAATTCCTTGTTTGTTTTTCGTGCATACTTCTGTACCGCTGAAGGTATATTTATTTTTTAGTTATAACCCTGCAGCTATTGTGCGTTTATATTGATATCAACGTACGGGAAAACCAATTTCTGTGACGTTTAATTTTTGTATATTTAACAAAGCGAAATCGTTTGGGAAGCCAAAGAGGGGAAGCAAATTCAACCTAGGGTGAATTTTATTGAACGTATGAAATAAACAACATCGTCGATAATCTACATTCGAAAATTTGGAAACACCGATATTACGGTGGATGATTTATCTTAATATAAAATATATAAATTGCCTTTATTTACTTTATGGCAACGATAAATATTGAATAATGTTTGTATCAGTATTAGTACAATACAATACAGTGGCGATTTAAATAGAAAATTAAAAATTTTCATAATAAACTATCGATATTTTTTGGACGAACATATTGTAAGGGCTATAATGATTTTAATATTGTAGATTAATTAATTGTGCTATTTTTATTGTTACATTTCAATTATTCTTAAAATTATCTAACCATTTTTCTTATAATTCATACTTTGCAAAAGTTTCAGAAGGGATCTCTTTGATTACACTGTTACTCAGGAAATATAATTAAAATTCATAGTTTCATTTAAGTAAAACAAACTAATTAAAAGAAAGGAGAACATTCATATCATTCGTAGTAAAAATATAGTGATATAAAAAAGTTTCTGATATAGCATCTCCAATTTTATTCAAAGATTCTAAATGACAGAATTGTTAATTACAAAAATTGTAAATATTATACTTATTACTTTAGAGAAGAACGCTGACAGTAATAAAGCATACACCCTGTATATGATATATAACAAAATCAGTTAGGTACTCTGTTTCTAATTGCTCACCTTGCACAACGTAAAACAATATTCTAAAGAAACACTTGTCATAGTTCTTTTTTCATACAATCTAATTCGAAATTATCTATTCGTTTATTGATATTATTAAGGTGATGTATTTAAAATATGCCAACTCAATTACTTGACTACTTTTCATAGACATAGAGATGCATTAGATCAATCTTCTTTTATTTGAAAAAGTAATAATTAGAAGCTACTACCTTTTCTCGTAGTTTTGAAACTTAAAAGTTTAAGAACTAAAATTTATTGACGAAACAATAATTCTCCAATTAATTTCTTAATCATTAGATATCCGATTTATATCTCCACCTGTAAAATAGTCTCCAATTAACATTTCCGACAACGTCTTCCATCAACAATACATTAACGCATTCAATGCTGCCTATACCAAACTGATAAACAAATTACAAGAAAATAATTGTTGTTATTATTACACGCAGAAAGATGATACTCGCCGCACTGTTGCATCGCATTTCCTAATTCCAACATTTATCATACTAATCAATCGATTTTCAGTCCACAAGAAGCTACAATAAATATGTAATCCCTATATTTTCATTAACCCTTAGGTTAGCAATCGGGTACCCAAGTACCTATCTCCATATTTTCTTCAATACAATTTGTTTTCTTGAAAATTTGTCAAAATCGCCTGTAACCTAGAACACTTTATCTACCGCAAGCCTGTTAATCGACTTTTCAATTTAGAATGGTTAACAATTGATAACCTATTAAAATTTCGCTGGCTTAAAACAAAAGAAATCAGACTTAATTAAAAAATTGGATTTTAACCCCTTACCCTCTGATTTATTTCTCAACTGTAATCGATACGACTACTTTATTATCAATCATTTATTAAGAAAGCAATCAATTTTAATGCTTATTCTATGTTTACGTTCACTCCGAAGGTTAACGATTCCTAATAGAAAAGTAATATTCAGTTTATATTTAAAGAAGATAAATGACACTTAAATTTTCCAGTCTAAAATTTTCGTCACGAGTCTGATACGATATTGTAGATCAATACGTTAACGTCACGAAGGTCTGCAAGTGAAAATCGCACTGCTAGTCAATAAACAACTCCCTTGATTACGAGCGGTAGATAAACTGTTAACAAAATCAAAAATCTCCACACAGAAGTATCGCGATACTACGTTATTCGACCAGAAACAATCATTTCGGTTGCTAACGAAAGGGCGAAACTCGTCACCGTGCACCACTTCCGGTGCGCACGACGTTCCAGGACGCTTCACTGAAAACTGGCTCAGCACTGAACGCATTGAACTCGTTCCGCGCGCAGGGGAAAGTCTCATCTCCCTCGAAACGAACGTTTCAACCAGTGAGAAACATTAAATAATTCTTGTTTCAGTGGGACAGCACGAAGGGGACGTAAACGACTACTACTTCAGGGACTCGTTCGATCACTCCTCTTCGGAGAGCCAGCTGCTGGACGCGTCCGGCAAGGCGCACAGCCGTTCGGTGACGCCGGTACCAAAGATGCAGAAGCTGCAGAACACGAAGCTCTGCCTCCAGCAACAGCAACATCAGCACCAGCAACAGGCCGGCCGGCGGCCGGACAACAAGTCGAGGCACAAAAGTTTCCGTATAGTGAAGCTGTTCGTACCGGCGTTTGTGCTGACGATCACGGTTCTGTTCGTTGTGATCGTTCTGGTGTTCGAAACAGACACGATGCTATTCAACAGCCTACGTAAGACGCCAGAAATGGTGGCCTTAAGGAACCAATATTATATACCCATCAAGGAGTTCCTGAGGACAAAGCTCGGCCTATTTTGATGCGATCCGACGATGACCGGGCTGAGGTCGTCCCATCTTGCTAACTAGCTCCCTTCAGTGCCAAGTCGAGGAAAACGATCTTGCCTGGACCCGAGGGACGGGAAAAGTCTATTCACGCCGTTTCTCTGTCACACCGTGTCCTCTTCTTTCCCATCCTCAGCATGATCAATCGGTCAGCCGCTTCGACTTTCTTCTCTCTCTCTCTTTTTTGTACTAATCGACTTCGACGTATGTATAGCACGGCGGTTATAAAAGTGGCCTGAGTCGATCGGTCTGCGACAGTTGAACGTGTGTCCCTTGACGGTTTGTTCGGCCGATCTTGCGAGGAGAGAACTTTGCGTATCCTAACACTTAGACGACCGAATGGGGAGTCCACGTTTCACAACGTGTTGCGTTTTGTTTAGATTTTCTTTTCTTGCTTGGTGAGTCTTGAACTGGGGATACTTGCGATTCGTTAATACGTTGACTGCCATGGTGGTCGTCGGTGACCGCAGTCTTCGAGATTGCTTAACACGTGGACGTGAATGCTATAGCATTCATTCTCGTTGCGATGCAAAATGATATGAATGTTATAACATTGAAAGTTATAGGCAACATTGTCGTGAAGTTAATTCTATACAGCCATAACTTTTTGAAATTATTATGCACTTAGTTACATTTAGCAATACTTAGTAACACAAACAGTTACATGATAGTGTAACACGTGTACTGTGATACCAAGTGATTAATAATTATTTCTAATACCGTTTGCCTTTGTTGTGAAAGAATATGTATTGTGACACAAAACCTTCGGAATTCTCGTGGTAGTCAACGTGTTAAATACATCTCTTGCTTTTATGGAATCAAGTTTTTAACCGAATCGGTTGAATAAGTTCGATTAGAGTGAAAAAGTGTAGTTATAGTTCTTTCTAGGTACTCGTTGCCTAAGTGTTAGGTTACATTGATTTCGTTTAATGTTTCGTTGGTGATATTAACTCCTTGTCCTGTGATTCCTTTCACGACTGCGCTTGGCAAAGCTGTTTTCTCGTTAATGATTTATTAGAAAAACAAAGAAATCCGATGTTCCCTTACTATAAAAATTAACGAACGATAATAGAAGAGTAACGTTTAATTTATGCTCGGAAGAGGTGAATAACATTTGGATCCGTTGAATCTAGTTTAATATTTTTATCAAGAGTTCTATGTTAGGACAAGGGGTTAGGGTTCGGTTTAACAATCGGAGCGTTGATTTGCGTTTCATTGATTTGTAACATACGGCTTTGACTGGCGACAATGCCAGGATTCGAAGCGTTCACAGTATTAGCGATATTATAACGGGTAAAGTCAAGCGGAGCGGAGATTTTGCGGGGATTTAATCGAACGTTCGATTCACCTGCGACACGATGACGCTGTAATGAAAACGAATATCTCGTTCAATTCTAACTTTTGTAAGATTCAGATTGAAGATTCGAGTTTGCGTGAGTCTGTGCAGTTTGTCGATTACGTGGATCTCAATTGTTCGTTAGAACGTCGTTATAGCTTAATATGAATGATACTTGACTTAGGTCACGTTTATAATTAACGGCACGTATATCCGATCAGAATATTCTGGGCAAAACGTACTTTCGATCTATCATTTCTTAACTGTACACGCAATTGCTAATATTTAACACGTTGCAGTGCGCTCCGGTTTCCGGAGTAAGCATTTGGATATTTCTAACATGGCTGTATTCTCGATTATACAAACTGATCAGACGATGAAACATAATTTAATTGATTTCATGTGATAATTTGTACATTTATACATGAATAAATGTAAGAAATTTATACATTTATTTAATGTGATAAATCTGTTGATATATTATTTTTATACGATATTACAGAAAATCATATTTGAATAATCGAACGTTACACATTGTTTAAAATGCATTGTTATCGTACATTTATCCATATATACGCTCAACGTAAATTATAAATAAGAGGAACAGTGAACAGACTGCGAATTTTATTCATTTATAGCTCATGTTACTATCTACAACTAAGTATAGTAAACAAGTTAACATTTGAACAATTGATACAATCCTCGATATAGTACAAATTTCTATTTCATTGCAGTATTTGCGAGTTAGTTTATAGAAATTTGTATTTGAATATAGATTCTCAGTCTGTTGATAAATAATAAATGAACATTGAATGAACTGCTGCACAACGTGTTAAATATCTGTAATTAATACAGGGTATCCCGCGAATATAAATCGAACGTGTGTAACAAGACTTTCTCTCGCAAGGTTTTCTTATCGAAAAATTGAATTTGATCAATTTTTACATAAAATTATCGCGAGAAACTATTGATAATGTTCTAAGATATTAATTTCAAATCAAACAAAATTCAACTGTTAAATTCAAGTTGAAAATAGTTTCAAATAGATATTAATAACGGGCAAATTGTTTGACTTCAGTTTATCTTTTCGAAAACGAAAACTCATCAGGAAAAGTGTTATTCTACATTCTATATTCGTTTTTGAATCATCACCTCGTTGATTGTATCGCTGACAGTGGGACGCCCTGTATGTTTGCAAGTTGAAGCATCATTTATAAGCTTTGAGTTAACCACGTATTTTGTTACACGCAATTTTTGGGAGGTCTCGCGGGAACTTCGCTGTGAGTTCGATTTAATTTGCATTTGTACGGATTCGGAATAGTAATCGATTGCTGCGTATTACATATGGCAAACATCGCGGATCGACGAAGTTACATTTGACTTTCATTACAGGTAAATTAGATCATGTACACCAGTATGTTTTGGAATTAGCGGATAGAGCGGTCAGGAATATTAGGTAGTTCATTGCACAATGTACTTTCACACTCCATTTACGATGAACGTGTACCGTGATCTGTATAGACATTACTGTATTTTCTGATAAAAATCAAGCCCAATACTTCTCGAGAGTTTCGTTTCACGAATGCTTGAGGTACTCAACTGCCAGAAACTCATGTTTTCCATACGTTCACAAAGTTGGAACGTCATAATATTGATACGGTACATTTATTTTTCCCTTTTTAAGCGATTGATTCTAAAAACGAAGTAAAATTACAACACAAAAAGAATGTATAATGGTATATTAACGTTCGTTTGGGAGCACATTATCAGATTGATATTGGAAAATACAGTGACTCAATGGACTCATTGTGAAAGTAAATCCAAAGAAGCACTTAACATTCAGTTTTAGTGGCATGTATAGATAGAGAGCTGATTTAACGATGGTACGAGGTATAGAATGTAAAAATTTCTTTAGCGATCTTTAGTTCTTATGGAGTACTAAACGAGGTATGTACAAAATAGGTTTATGGGATTAAGATACAATCGGACGGTATGTATAAACGATACGTGTACATTAATTTGATACATTTCTATTAAATTGCTGGTACTGTCAGTATTCCTTGATGTTTCATACTGGCAGGTAACAGACAGGTACATTCGTCACTCGATGGCTGATCATAATCAAGAGAAATCTTCTTAATGATTTTCAATTCTGACTTACTCTGCTCTGTATTCTGAGATATTCAATTGCTTCCAAAGACGACACGGTTGAATCACCAATATCATCCGAACAGAGTAATCTAGTTTGGATCGATGTGTAACCAATGTTTGCAGGCTGAATATTTTATGAAAACGATTTGCAATTTCTACAGAAGAATATTTGATTTTCGGTTTTGGCGATGATACTTTTGTAAAGCTTCTCGTGTACTGACTCGATATTTACCGTACCTGTGCCACCTGACCACGTTGAATGCATTCATACAATCATCTAAATGATCTCATTCCCAAGTGTTTATTTTCAGACGATATCTTGCCATTTTACCGTGCAACTTTCATTCCTTAGAGTCTGAGACATTCGATCAGATTAAGTGACCATGCAGAATGACTATATTAACCGGAAGTGTACACTAGAAAGTTCGGTTCTCAGTTATCGCCTTTGTAGTTGACTGTTTTTATTGATATTTGTTTTTAGAATAGGATTGTTATTTTTGGTTACCTGATTTCGTTGATTGTTTCGGAATTCGTCGTGTTTAACGGGGGGGAAGACATTTCTTTTTGAGACATTTTGAGGAGTACGTCTTCAAAGAAAGACCAATATTGACAAATAACGTGTCTATCATAAAAAAAAAGTGACCCATTTTTACGATATCATTGTGATAGGAAAATCAAATAGGCATTAGTTACAAAGTTTAGGTGGAAAGTTGAGTAGTTAGTTCGTTTTTTAAGTGTTTGCTATTCAATCTACTTGTATGGTGTCAGTATTAGACCAATCGTCATATTTCGTTATTGGTTGGTTAAATATTCATCTAATCGAGAGCAATCTTTAAAGGATACGTTAAAAACAGTTGTTCATTATTCCATATATTTCAATATATAAGGTGCTTTGCAAAATATATCGACTGTGACATACAAGAGAGTCCAAAGTGAGGCGAAATCGTGACATGCGTTACATTACACGTTTCTATAATTTATTGTCTAAATCGTTTCGAATTCAACCAATTCACCTTTACGCGAAACTTCTTTAACAGTTTAAACATATGATTCGATTGATTTTCGTGGAACAATGGTTATTTTGAAATAAGAATTAACAATTACTCTGTTCGATAATATAAAAATGTTGCTCCTAGCAGTGGTATTAAAAAATCACGCACGTGTTGGAAACCAAAAATCTTTTTTTCCAATGAAAAAAATGAAATGATTATACTCGTTTTATTTCCATAAAACAGTGAAACAATAAATTTACAAAATATAAATATACATTCTGTAACTAGAATTTCACAATTATACAAATTCGATTGATGGAATATCTTTTGATAATATTAATAAAACTTATGAAAATATTCGAACAGAGTTGATCATTGTTACATGGTGATTGGATTAACATGAAAATGATTGGTTGGATATGAGAATCAGAAACAAAGTCTTGAAGGCTGAAGAATCATTATTATAACAGTACGTAATTGTTACAAACTTGTGTTTATTCCAATCGAACGCATCTTCCTGAACTGAATTAATTATCAGAGAGAAAGAGAGATCGACACGACTCGTGTCGAATGGCCTATCATATTGCTAAGGGGAATATAATACAAATGAAAAATGTTTTCTCGACGCGCCATTTTGTTCTCGATGCAAGTGCAACAACACTCGCGTACAAGCACACGTTCAATGGATACAAATGTATGTGGGTGTACACTATTAACGTGAAACAAAAAAACAAACAAAAAATTACATATTTTAACATTAAAGATAACAGAAAACTTAGGCGAATATGTAATATATTATATATATAAATATATAAATATATATACATCTTATTAGCGAGCTAATCAGTTAACATTATTTATAGGGATATTAGACAATTTTAAACGGTCAACGAAAAGCAATTATTTGATAATTAAATATAGCTTGTAAGCAATTTTAATGTGTAAGAACGTTAGAAGAATTTCTGAGGGAAATTAAGGGAGCAAACTGATGAAAAGTGAACGTTTTATTCTTTTGCCAATAACGTCTGCTACTTAGGGAACTTTTCTGAGCCAAAGACCTTCGTTTCTCGAGACAAATAATTTATTCTAACGTCTTTATCTCGTACGAATAAAAGCAAAGATTCGTTTTTATATATTAGAAGTATATAGGTATCACACAAAAACTAGAAGAGCAAAAAGTTTACGAAGATGATATTTCAACTAGCTGTGTTACTTTTCATTGTAATATTTAATTGTGTGTTGCAAAAATTACGAAATAATTTTCATTGTGTATATGCACATATATTTGTGGTCGCAAAAATTACCATTCAACGGAGGTCTTTGTAAATGAAACAATTTTTACGTTATTTCTTACTACAAAGAAATATCATTTATTCGTTATTCGTTTTTCTAAACGGACGAGTTAGCAATCATGCAAAAATGTTACCTATCCAACCGTGACCGCGTCTCTTCGTGACACCATCGTAAATTTGGTAATGGAATTGCTAAGGAGTAGTGTCAATAACAATCAACTGAATCGTAATAAGCTGATAGCATGGAATCGCGATAACAGTTCGGACGAAGCAAAATAATTTCCTTAGAAACGGTATATGGAGTTTATTTGAATCAAGTACATTTCTAATTATCTGGTAAACTAAAATAACGTATTGTTATATTGTTCTTTGTTTTAGTTTCTTTAAAATCTCTACCCACAGTTACAAGTTGTATTTAAAGGGCACGCATGTAAATTATCGAATGTGCAAGATGACCCAGGTTTTGACGATCAAACTTCGCGAACGCAAACGTTAATATATTAATTATTATTTTCCTTGCCAAGTACAAAGATGTGAAAATGCTTCTGGTTAAACATTGTAAACAAATAGGTATATTTATTATTTCGTTAATATTTTCAAATACAGCTGAAGAACCTATAATACGATTTCAAAGCAAAATAATAGATTATTATTATTATCATCGATAGGTTTATAAAGAATGCTACAATTTAATTATTACCACTAGAACTACGGAGCATTTAATACGATTAATATGCGATTCCCATAAAAATGCTAAGAATAGATTATTTTCAGTTTCTTCAGGCATTCATTATAGTACTGAAACTATTTATTTTCAAAATCATTTCGAATATTCGACGCTTCGAAGATATCAATAATTGCTAAACAAAAAAATCGAAACCAGTCATTTTCACTGTTACGGTAGTTCTAGTGTTACTCGATCTAACGAAATGGTAACTGCTACATTCACATATTATCATCTTTAATTGTCTCTACATCTACGTGCCATTCTGTTGAAACCTGGAACATCGTGTGTAACGAAGTCACTCGTTTATTTAAGAATCTTTCTTGAAAGCATTCAAAGTATAGAGTCGAGAATTTCCGGATTTCCATCTCGGAACGATTCATGATTCACTTCAACGACGATTGTATTACGAATCCCTCAGAATGGAATAACGTTTCTAGTTTAATCCGAATAACGTTAAATGTCAACTATAAATGTTCCAGCACAAATCGAGCGACGGTAACGTAAGAAAACCAAATTGAATTTTATAAAATCAAAATACACCGCGACTCTTCGTAATAGTAAGGGTTCCCTTCGCTGCAATGATCAAATCTCTTGAACCTCGTGACGGCGAGCGTTGTTTCTTCGAGGGCGGGAACAACGAAGAAGAAACGACGGCTAAAACGAACGACCCCCGGAACGAACGTGGGGATCGTCTCGCCGCGACACTTTGACCTTCGTTGTTCTCGCGGCTTTCAATCTCACCCGTTTTCCTGAAAGTGCCTACGCTATTCTAAACTCTTTTGGAAGCTGCTATTCGCTGAGTTTTCGAGAAAAAAAAGAATTGTACTCGTCTTCTTACATTTACTCGATACCCGTAACCAATTAAGGGATTGTCTACAACCACCGCGAATTGTAAAAGGTCAAGTTACATTATAGATTAATTTTCGGTTAGGTGATTCTTAAAAGCTTCGTTGGAAAGAGGAATTTTTCATGGAAAAGGATCGCGTGATTTTAATTTTAGAGGATGAACTTTGACAGGTAACAGTGACGAGAAAGTATATTAAATTATGTGAATCGGTTTATTCATTTTTCGAATGCTTTTGGTATCGATTTTGGGAACCGTTTCAAGGAAAACGTGTTTCAAGTTTCGAACGGGATTTCCACTTGAGGAACGTTTTGCTCTGTGCTTAGATGGTATCGTCGTTTTCTTCGAGATCGTCGAGGACAGTGCATTTTCGGAGATACGTTTTTTATGGGTCTATTTGTTTTCGCTAGGTGTATGTGATCTCTTAAACGAACCGGGCGGCTTGTCCAATTACACCTGACACTTATAAAAGAACGAAGGCAACGATTACACTGCGGATGTTTATGCGAATGCTTGGGAAACTCGAGGGAAACGGAAACTTTCAATGAGATCCAATTAAAAAGTTACTGAATTGTGTTCAATTGAAATACCTAATTGAATTGTACCTAATTAAATTATATTCATTTGAAATATCTAATTGTATTAGATTAAATTGAAACATTTAATTGGATCTTATCGTACAAACGATAATACCGACAAATCTTAATGTCGCAATGACAGTGTTACAATTGCAATGATGGGATTATAATGATACATAGTACGCAACTTGTTTATTCATTAACAAAGAATTCAACAAAAGAGTCATTAACGGGGACGAGATTGAAGAATGAGAAATTTAGAGAATTTTACTGAATTCTCACTTCTTTTTGTTTGGGGAAATGTAAATTTACATAAACATTCGTAGTCTGGTAATGATGCCGATGTTGGTATTAAGATACGAGCGTGTAACGTCCTTTCGATACAGAAACGTCAATCATCGATCAAAGATATATAAGTACTTTGTTCTACGTAAGACGAGAAGGAATACCGAACAACATCGGGAAATAGTAACCGATTGAACTTCGAGCGAACACACTTTACGGGGAATCTTTTCTCCGTGGAAGAATGTTCGATGCAGGAACAATTCTAAGAGATTAGAACGGTATCCGTGCATGTTGTTTTTGTAATTCATTATTAGACTGTGGATATTTGTGCAGCATGAAATTTTTAGAAATTTATCATGATCTTTCGAATATTACATACTCACTGATTTTCTTTTCCATTTTTCACTGGCTCTATTAGGTTCCAAGTGACTTCATTTAATTGACAAAATATTGTATTTAATGTTAAATTGGAGCAAAAGAATGTAAAACTCATTTACAGTCGATTAAAGTATCTATCGATACAACTTCGAAAGTTTTGAAAGATTACGAGACGATCACAAATAATTTGTAATTGCAAGTTAATTAGAAATTCGAAGTACCGAAATAAATGAAATCCAAGGATTTATCTTTGCTCGAAGTATCGAAGATACAAGCGACTTATGCTTGAGATATAATTAACAGTCGGTGGAAAGGATTTCTTTTCATTATACAAGCTTTTATCACCATTGAAGTGCCATTTTGTTTTCCGTGCCGGAAATGCGTAAAGTCCACAGTCTATCGATTACCAGTGACTTGTTTCGAAGGACAAAGCACCGTCTAAACGCAAATTGTATAAACAAACGGATGTCAATTGCAATATAATAACCTTAGATTTAAAAGTAAGAGCGCCAAGACCATTCGATGTGACGATTCGCGACGATGAACTGTTACGAGTTCTCGGAGAGTTCTGTAACGCGATGGTTATTAAATTCGAGATGAAGAACGACGCTTACAATTAGCCCGTTTGCATCCGAAACTATTAAATTATTCATCGCGTTTGATTATGTATTATCAATCGCTTAATCTATCGAGTTACTTGTTCTAGTATTTTATTCTGTCGATCTAGGGTCGCTCCCCATAGTTCGACACGTTGAACGCCACGAGGGTCAACGGTGACCCTCAGGAAAATCGAATTACTATGATTCTCTCAATGAAACGATGATTATTTGAAAAGTTGTTCAATTTAGAAGTAACGCAACGACGCAGTTCAATCAAATAGTTTGATATCGTATCGTTTTACATTTCCTGTATTTTCCTGCGTGAAGCCACTGCTGTGTATTAATAGGATTTGTGTAATAATACGATACTTGCACCTGGATTGCGTACGTACGGGCCATAACTAATTTAAAAGCTTTGGCATGGTCCGATGTCGATTTTTCGAGTGTGTCATAGATCTCATCGCGAGTGACCAGCAGGCTACCTTTCGGTAGGTCTAAAGCTTGTCGCGGCCATCCTACTCGTTGTTGCCTAAGTTGTTCGGCACGATTTTTTCGTGATGCTCGCAATTGGTCATCATATGCTCCATCGGTAGGCAGCTCATCTTCTTCAGTAATTTTGGGGATAGCAAATATTTGGTCACCAATAATCTTATAGCTCTTATTATCACGCGCCACTCTTGTTAGATATATATATCATTAATGCTTAACTCTGCACCTGTCTGCTCTTTCGAGATGTCGAAGAGAGCTGTAGCAATCTGACGGAGCTCACTCTCCGTCCGGGCACACATGGCGCTTGCTTGCCCTCGGTACCCTGTAAAAGCGGAGTCTCTCGGGAGATCACACTTGATGAATGTGCAGAGATACGCTAAGTCTGGATAGTGTCGTATATTAACTGTGGGTTTTACAAGGGAGCAGAAAGGATTTCGAAGCAAGTCCCTTGCTTGTATCATAGCTGATTTAAAATTGTCACGTGGTATCCCCTTGTTGATCAAGAGGTCGACGTCAAAAAATCTAAGTTTTGCAACCACGTCGGTTATCGTTGTAAGGCAAGTTACATTGTGGCTTGTTCAATGACCCACGATAATGAGACACCCTCCGGCACTTGCAACATTGACCAACTGGTCACCAATTGGCGGTAAACATCTTCCCATGTTATATCAACTTGGGTATAGAGACGGGCATAATGCTTGATAATAGTAATGTTCGCCTCTTTAGTCAATGCTGCTAAGTAGGTGAATATCGCCCCACCTAAAATACTTCTGGTTTTTTCCAAGTTCTGCACGGCCTTACCTTCATGGTATCCTAAAATAGTATCATTGCTATAGTGCGACCACGACATTGCAAATTCAGGCTTGACTTCAAAGTTGATTTCTGCAATATTCACAAAATTTACGCTCAGCTGACTTAAGTTCACCCAAGCATCACTCGCCGCGGGCTCGAGGAACAATTGATGCGGGATTGTGTGCCCCCGGGAGATATAAAATGCTAACGTCTGGTTACTGACACGCTCCCCTCCGGGTATATGTGCTGCACAGTCTTGAGTATCAGCAAGATTGTCGTCGGAGTTAATGCATGTTTTAGTTATATCATTAATTAAGGATCGTAACTCGTTTAATGACGGGGGAGATTGCTTGAGGATGCGAATGACCTTACTCCGTGCATTATCGCGATCCTCTAAACTACTCAAATGTTTAGCGCTAGAAATTGCCACCATCTCCCCGTATGTTCTTGCTAGTATTTGGTCGGTATCACGAGAGCCATAAGTCTTAGCCCAATGGCCCGCAATTGTCTCTGCGACAAGAGGTCTAGCATGCCAGGTTACGAAAGGTGACGATCTATTGACATGCTCTATAGATAACGTGTCACTTGTAGCTACTAACAAACAAGGTATTAGCGCATCAGATGATGCCGAAACCAATCTTGACAGGATTGGTCATAATAGATGGGACACCGTGACGGCGCGCTTGCATTAGTCTCTCAGCTAGAGATTTTCTTTCAGCCATTATAACAGTTAGGAATGTCAAGACGAATCACAAGTAAAATATGTATTTTTTAAAAAAAATGTGTTTGATTTTCTTTATTTATCAATCGTTTCGCACCAATGTTGTGTGTAGTTGTCGAACATCTTCGTTTGAACGTTGCATTGTTGTACCGCAAAACATTGTGCATCTATAACGTACGATAATCTTGAAAAAATTATAAACGTTAATGACATTTAATACTGTTTCACTTTACTTTTAATCGAACGCGAGGAATTCCATTTGATTCGATGTCGATTTCTCAAGTTTCTCTAGGAAAATTGTTGTATACTTCAATCGTCGGTTGATCACTTCTTTCGTTAATCATGGAAGGACAATTGGAAATAATGAGCTACGGTAACTCCAGAAAAATATTACACGAATGCAGCTCAAACATATATAAACTAATAAAGAATTATTTGAGATACATATAAAATATATTCATATTCATTGCATATGAAAATTGCAGCAGAGGCTTTCGCATAATTTGCATTCTTCGTTCTCGAAGATCATTTCAATCATTTTTATAGCACACCGTTTATTTCGTAGAATGTACAGTTTTACAAAATACCTTCGCCACTGTACGACAAATCATTTTCGAACGTGTCGCCAGCGAGAGACAAGTTAAAAGTCGGATCACGTTCAATATGAACTGACGAATTTCCTTATTCAGCAAATTCGATCCGTGCAAACTGGTTTCGAACTCTAGACTGAATGTCTAGGTTTCGAGAACCTAACAGCGGTAAAACAGCTTTACAATTCTCATTTTTAAATTCAAGATGTCCGATAATTTGAATTTTCGCACGCAAACGTGTAATTCTTTGTTTCGCTTCGGTTTTTCCGAAGCACACTTCGTTTCCTGATTTTATCGCGTGTAAAACAGGAGATTTCCAAACTAAATACCGCGGTTGACAAATTAAAGGAATCACGGATATCAAACTAGACGAACACATCGAACACGTGCGAACAGAAACAGTATTAAATTTGATTCCGAATTCGAAGAGCACGATCGGTGCGAAACGTTTTTCCATTTTCTAGCGTGTTAACGATTTCGATCGTGTATTACCGATATCGCGCGACTCCTCTACGGAAAAGAGAAACGAAGAATCGCCATTAACACCTTGACTGCCACGTCAGCATCTTTTACATCAGTTTAAAAATACATTCTCTGGTATTTCGTTGAATGCATTGAATCCAGAAAAAGAGAAATCTTTACTGTTTCTATTTTATTAAGAAAACTGTTTCGATCGTACGGGAATATCGGTGAGTGTTTATTTGGCAGTCAACGTGTTAAAGAATATGTATTTCGCAACTCATACGACGACAGACACAATGGCTTGCAGGAGAGAACCGTTAAATCCCTCTATTTCGCGAGCCGGTTTTCTATAATTATTTTCGTAATTTGTTTCACGTGTTATGTACATACATGTAGCAGGAAGTTACGAATTGTATCGGGTGCAGTGAAAAGTTCTTTCCAATGAGTTTCAATTGGAATTCATCGAAGCTACCGAATTTCTATCACGATGGTAATCATTCAACCCTTTGCCGACGAAGATTCTTTGAAATATACGAAACCTTGAGCGGATGAAGGTTAATTATACATCGATTGTTTAAATAATAGAAAGAAAGGAAATTATACACTGATCTCCTGCTGTTTGAGTAATTCGTACATTTGTTTGCGACCATACTCTTCCAAATATGGAAATTTCATCTCGCCGAAACGACATTCGTCCGCAAAGGGTTAATGGACTCCCAAAATGTCCTAAATAAGAAATACGAATTGTATGCGCTTACATCGACGGGTCGACGCTTGGTCGCGACTCGAATGTTTTCGCGAATTTACGTAGACCGTACGCGCGATGCCCGCCAAATTAATCTTGGGCACCTGGATCCGTCGGTGGAGCAGTGGTCGCGTCTTCGCGTTACGTTTCGTTCGAATCGAGATTTTCGTACGAGTCTTTCGTGCGATAGACTCGAAGGTAATACGTGAATTGAGTTTTTCGAATGTTGTACGTGAACTCTACTTGTCGAATGCGTGTCGTGAACTATTCGAATGCGTGTGTAATCGAGAACTATGTTTGTCGAATGCGTGTCGAGAACTCTCCGAGTGCGTGTAGTTGACTATTCGAATGCGTGTAAAAACCTCTTGAAAGTGTATCGAGAACTATGTTCGTCGAATGCGTGTGAAAAACTACCCTTCGTCGGAACTCTTGCACCCACAAGTAAACTTTCTTACCCCTCCTTCGGATGTATGGAAGGGGATGCTGACGGAGTGGGAACAAGAGATCGACGAAGTTTTGAGTAAAAAATACATTTGGCAACAGCGAGAAAATCCCGCTACTCGACGAACGTGCAAGGGTGTACCCCGATGCGAGTACGCACCCTTGTCCGCAGGTAGTGCTCGCTGTTGCGCGTACATTCGTACAATCCTCGTCGCTGCGCGAGAATTCGTCTGGTTTATGACAGGGGCGATTTTTGTACGGGACAGAACATGCGAGGCTGACTTGCACAATGGCCGAAGCCGGGCCCCGGATCAACTGTCCCGAACGCTCGATCGTGTTTGCGCCCGTGTCATCGAATTACTCGTGTATCGACGTGTCGCGGTCCTCGGTATCCTGAAGGGTCCCTTGTTCCGCGACGGAACACGAATACTTTAATTAAGCGTTCGTACATTGTTCTAACCTTCAAGTATGAACGTGAGTTCATTTTGAAATGAATTTTGAAACTGAAATTTTCGTCGAACAGTTAACCCGTTGCACTCGAAAGTTTCTCACTAGAAATATTCAACGTTCCCCGATGAGATACAGACGATGTTCTTCGAAACCAGAACGAAAGTTATTTTATTTCAATATCTCATATTTTGATGTATCATAAAAAATTCAATATTATACAAAAGACTTTATAATTTTGCGAATCAAATCAAGCGGTGACTGAGAGTCGCCTCTCGAGTGCAAAGGGTTAATACTATATAGATTTTTAATCGAGCGAAAAGAAATAAATACAATGAATTTCCTCGTGAGCTGCTATAAACGGGAATTACCATTGATCGGTAATTCTCAGATTTTCATGCTTATTTTCCATGGTTCACGCTGACACTCGAAGGTTGAAACTTCGGTTCCACCGGGAAGAACTTGCCACTGCGCCCGACGATCGAACATGTAATTGATAACTTGCGCGTGTCATTAATCATTTACGGTTACAATCATTCGCCAATAAGAGATACTAATGTTAAGTCGGATAAGTTCAACTGTGCCATATTTGTGATCTAAATTACACATAACACACGAACAACACAAGACAGACACAGAACACACACGGTATATAGACACTGTCGTTTAAAAATTGCCTCGGCGACGAACGGACATCGTTTAGAGGAATATAGAAGGAAGTTAAATTGTAGCGCGTGGACAAAGTGACACGGAACAATGTATTAGGGGATGTTTCAAGGCAACTTACACAGTTGTAGCGAACGTAACCAGTCCTCACGTTGTTGTACCACAATAATTTTCCGTTTCTCCTTTTTTTTTCCCCCCCTTCTTCGATTGCATATCGGATCGTGTGTTGTTACTCTGACGTGTTATTTAATGTTTAGTCGCGATCACGCGAGATTTCGTTTCGATGGAAGACGAGTCGTGTCTTTAACCCCTTGCGGACGAGGATTTCTCAAAGCGTTAGAAATCTTCATGAGAATTATTTTTGTTATTCAATAATTATAGTGACATCTGAGATCGTTAATTAATTGATTTAAGTAATCTTTGATTAGTTTTATTATTGAGACAATGATAATAAGATCTTTTATTTAACACGTTAACCCTTTGCACTCGAGAATCGATAATAGATATATTCCTCGTTTTCTAATGAAGTATCAATGATACGTTTTATGATTGACAGCGATATAAATAATATAGAATTTTAGGGATAGAACTATTCTGTTTTAACGTTTCATCGGTACGTTGAATGAACTTTAATATTGATCAAACTTAATTTTGCTGTATCAAAGCAACTGTTCGCAAGGGTGCAAAGGGTTAAGCGCCATGTGTACAAGATAACCGATGTGAAATGAAAGTGTTTAATAACGTAACTAAGTTGATGACAGCGCGATGCAAATATTGTAACATCAGATAATTAATAATTCCTGCTTTTCTTAACAAAAGAGAAATTCTATGGAAAACGCTTAAGATTTTCGTGGCGCTTAACGTATTAAATAAGGATAGTAAGATCTTTTGTTATTTAAAGGATGATAATAAGATCTTTTGTTATTTAAATACCGATAACAAGATCTTTTATTAGTTGAATACCGATAATAAGATCTTTCGTCATTCGAGGTCGCCAATATGGCGATATTCGTCCCCAAAGGGTTAACGGTTGCCCCTCGACATTCCTAAATGTGAATAGTGTATATTGTTGTTTATCAGATTCGCTGGGTTCATCGAAACTTTCACACAGAGAAGACACGCAAATTTGTTGAATTGTTATGACACCAGTTACCTGCGTTGATTTTGTATTATAACTAAGTTATCGTTCCGAGTATTAGGCAATTCCAGAAACAATGCCGTTTTAAATGCCCCTGGCGTTTTTCAGTGATATCTGTTAACATCAGATTTGCAAACAAGTAACTGAAATTAATAATACTTAAGTTACGCTTGAATGACAACGTATTAATCGATGATTTCTTAACAATGAAGAAGAAAGGCAAAATTGTTGAAATCATTAAGCGACGGTATTAAGTTGAAATTTATGTTCCATGAAGATTTAATTAAAGCGAAAATATGTTAGAAATACTAATGAATTTTGTATCAGAATGTAAACACAACGGAGCACGTAATTGCCAATTAACCAACTTGAAAATGCATTCAATGGAAAACAATGGAGAAATTAATATGTAAGTTAAATTAAGTTTTCCAGATACGAAATATAAACTCTTCTTTCTTTACTTTCAAAAGTTCCATCGTATAACAACACTAGAACTACTAAATGGCTCAAAATGACTAATGAAATTGATTTAAAACTACGCAAACTAATTTATAAATCGATTGAAATCTCAACAGACAATATTGGAGTTTCTACAAGAAAATGAAAAAATCTAATCGAATTACTCGGTAGTTTCAGTGCTAAAGGCATTCAGCATACCCACAAAATGGTAACCATTTCTAATAAGACATGGAGAAACGAGATCAACGATTCATCTGTTCATATAACATCACAAATCGCAATAGCATTATTTATGGAATTACCTGATACACAGAATATCTCGCCTCGCGACAAAATTCGCGTCAAAGGGGCGAGGAAGAACAACAGGAAAATGTTCATGGGAAATTTGTCACCTGTTTGACTTTGTTTTCGCGTCCCAAGATTCTTCACGGAAGCTGAGTTATCTGTATCGTTCCCGAAATTCGTCACCGGAAGGACTGTCGAATAAATTCCCACGGAGTGTCCGCGATCTCGAGAATCCGGGAAAATTCACGCGAATACGGACAGCTCGAAAACAAACTGAAACAGGGCGCACGTTCACGTGACGTTTTACGTTTTGTTACCTTCGACGTGTGTCCCCGCACGTTCCGATACAGCCAGTGTATGTGTATATGTACATATAAAAATTGATTTGTCGATGCGATCATTTGAAATTCTCGATTACCAAGGTACGCGAAATCATGTTGCAAGTACTCCAACTCATGCCTTCCAGATTTGTAAATTGTTTCCACTTACGGCGCCGACGATACGTTCCGGATATCTCGTAATAGCGAACGGAGTGTAAAGGATACGTACGCGAACTTACTTGTCGAGAAATACTTTCACATTGTTTCCATGCAAATGCGCGCGTTCGCGGCGTGATTCGTCGAGGATATACTTAATCTTGTAACGTTATATTGTACAACGTTCGGTTCCGTTTGTTTTTCCCCCTTCTTTCTTCGTTTCGTTTCCCATCGTTCTATTGCGAACTCATAATTAGAGAACGTAGCATTCCAGATACAGTATAAAAGAAATACTTCTTTTTCAATTTTTCACGTCATAATAAAATGTTGATAGCGCGATATGTATGAAATAGATTTATACATGACAAGTTTCTCTTTATATGAAATAAAGATGAAATTCATATGAAACATGTTGTTTTCATTCTTCGTGCGACCCACCGCGTTCTACATTGGAGTCCATCGAAACGGTTGCATTTTTCAGATTTTCCAATGCGACGAATGGTCGATTCGTTCGTGAGATAGATTGTTTTATTTTTATGCGAAGATGACATTTTAATCGAGCACGATTTCAATTTTTCGTTTGCGTATGAGACAATGGTAAGTGGAAAGGTAACCTGTTAACACGTTGACTGCCAGAATTTCTCGTTCAATCTATGGTTCAATCGATTAAACGTTGATTATTTGAAAACATTTCTATATTATAAATAATACTATCTAATGCGGTGATGAATATGTAATAATAAGAATTTCATTCAATGAAATGATTTAGTATTATATTTTTCCCATTTTCTTCATTTTGCTCTATGAAATCGTGCGGCGTTCAACGTGTTAATAACAAAGGAAAATGAAAATAATTATTAATCACTGATATTACAGTAGTCATATTACACTATTATCTAGCTGCTTATGTTATTAAATGTTTTTATTTAACGTCAATCTTTTTATTGCAATTCTTCAGCAGTTTGGAAGCTCCGATCATCGGCAGTCAACGTGTCAACTGTGGAATTTAGTGTGAAAAATCTCTCGTTTCGCACGCGGTAAAATAAAAAAATGAAGTGTGCACTCGTCAAACGCAGGACGAATGCATCTAGAATATATTTTAATGAAAAACCAAAGAAAAACAAAGAAGAATTACACGTTGGTATGAAAAAATAAAGAATTCGTCGTTGAAAGAATTAGTTTCAAGCTTTTAGAGGGTAATATCATTTCTTTCGAAGAGAAACGTAGATTTTTCAGAATTTTTTTCTAAGAAACAGTACGAACGCCTTTTAATTGAAATTTTACGTATGTTGTTGCTATACTAAATTGATATGACACAATCTTAAACTAATAGGTTCAGATCTTAAAGTAGGTGAAAATAGGTACCTTTTTGTAACTATTTCAATCATCGAATGAATGGATTTTGATTTACGAATTTAGAAACTAATTCCGAATAAGTCTAACTAAACAAATATATACAATTCATCGAAAATATATTGAAAAAATATGAAAATTTCAGCTACAAGACATTAACCCTTTGCACTCGAGAATATCTTTCTCGACAAATATTCATTACGATATTTTTTACAACTAACATGAAGAAAAACCTTCCATAAATTAAGTAACTATTTTATTTCGACGTTCCATATGTTGATACATTAAATAAAATTTAGTATTGAATTTTAAATTTTACCATTTTACTAGGTCAAAGCAAATGACGACTGAAAGGCGCCACGCGAGTGCAAAGGGTTGATATTCTTGTCCGTAAACAATCCCAAGAAATCCATGATTTTTATGAATAGAAGCAAGATTCCTCATTTAAACAACATTCATTACAATTATTACATTGCTTCGCACGAGGATTATGAAATGTATTGTTGACAAGCGAAACGCATACTTTCTCAAGACTCACCAATGGCTGTTTGTTGTTTCTTAGTTACCGCACTGACTAAACTTTCGCAGAAGCAACATTAACACATTTGTGAGGGTTTTTAGTCTATCGTTTAACTGCTAATCCTACGTCCATGTAACATTCTAGGTACGTATAACACAAATCCAAAGTAAAATTTACAAAATCGAATCCTTTATTCTGTTCCGTAAGTTAGAAACGTTGGTTTAATCGATGTTTAAAAACGTATCAATACAATCACCGACGCTCGCGTTTTTAGTAGCTGAGATTCAACCGGCGATCAATGTGTCAAAACGAAAACCGTGAAGAATCCACGGAAACTTTAGCTCGTGCACATTCGCGAGACGAGCGAGGAGAAAATCAAGAAACGAACGAAAGCGGTCGATCCTTCGAGAACTGCTTCATTTATTTTCGTCCCAGCAGCGAAGAACTCTACTGTAATTTACTCGTAGCAGCAGCTTGCTAGAGCCGTGATTATCCGTCGCACAGCTGCGCCGAGAGAACCCTTAAAACTTGACCGTAGATAATTATTCCACGGATAATTATTCTTTAAAACTTGCCGAAGCCTCTTGCTCATCCGATATGTAAATCGATCACCGCGGCAGACGCATCGGCAGACGAACGATAAATAATTCACCGGATCCGCGGTTAGGAAATCGAGTTTGATGACTTGACATAATGATACATAATAGCGCGCGGCGGATAATTGTCTTTAATCGATGGAGACTCACGGGAGGAAAGTTATTCATTTGCACGCGCCTCGTAACTTCGCAACGTCCAGGCTAATTGCTTTAAACGCGACCGACCGTTCGCCGAAGATTCTTCGCGAAATATCAGATGTCGGAGGTCGAACGGTGAAATTAAGAACGTCTCGCTTCGAGTGTGAAACATTCATTTCGAAACGAAGGTTACTTCTTCGTTGATTAGAGATCATTCGTTATTATTCGTTTGTATTCAGTTAAAATCGTGGATAGTGAACGGTAGCAGTTAATCTGAATTTACAGTCTAAACTGGGAGATGTCTCCTGGCTGGTAGCAAATAAATATATTTCTAGAACGATTTACATAGAAAGTTCTAATTACTCGAACGACAAGATATTGTTGATCGTTCGAAGATCGAAATTTGTGCAAACAAGGTGTCTCGTGGTCAATAGCAAATTTATTTCAAGGGAAACGAAGTTCTTTCTTTGTTTACTATAAGTAATTAATTACTATCCTTTTTTTCCGAAGACTATAGTTAGTGGGAAGTAGTTAATCGAAACTTATAGTGCAAAGTACAAGGTGTCCCGTGGCTAATAGCGAATGTACTGAACGGTCTTGGAAAAATCTACACAGAAACAAGTTCTAGTTGTTCAAACGAGGAGGCTTTTAAATTTCTTCTGTTGTTCGTTGGTGTTTGTGCGGTGTTATATTGTAGAGCAACAGTTTCGATGACGTCTGAAACAGTGATCACTAGTGCCGTAAAGTATTTTCTCCTCGCGATCGGGGCCCACCCGACCTCTTCGAATAGAGCTCTCATATGCGCTCTTTGGACGGCCGGGTTCGGGTCCATGTTGTTCGGTCAGATTTGGTACGTTGTTTCCTTCTATAAATTGCAACCGTTACCTGAGCTATTGGACTGTTTGTTTGTGATATTAGTCAACGCCAGCATTTCCGTGAAGGTGATCGTCATTTGGTTGAATTATGGGTAAGGCGTGTGTACGGTTTTTTTTGCACGTGTACTGCGCACAGTTGGAGTATTGGGACATCATTATCAGAACGAATGGGTTAGAAATTTCTGTGCGTTTGTGATAAACAATGCTGAATAATATTCGATATAGTAGAATTTTAGTAAAGTTGAGCGTAGACGTATCCTCTTCAAGGATACCAGTATAAGTGCACAATTTTATTATGCTTTGACACAATGCGTACTGGTAACGAGAAATCTCGTTTTTAATGAAGATACTTAGCTGTGCAACTTTGCTAATTACCAAAGCATTTAAAGAAATATTCAATTTGATTCGAATTGATTATCTATTTGAAATATATTACATAACAATGTATCTGAGTTTCTCTGTGTATAATGATGTGAATTAATCTAACTGAAAATTGCCAGTCGCAATTCAGTTTTCCGACAATTAACCGGTACGCAAAGTGGTAATATTGAATTGCCCCAACTCTGTACAGTACACAACAATATAGTATTTCGTACGAACGTCTTTCTTACGTGTAGTTGCATATAAATAAGAAGTATTGACAATGAATCTATTGTAATGTAACGTTCAACCGTTTGCACTGCAACAGATTTCTACCAAAAATACCCGACACACCTTCTGATAAAATATAGTCAACAATTTCACGAGACTAACTTCACAAGAAATCGTACGAAAATTAAAGAAAGAGGCTGCTTCAATTTTAATATTTCACATATTAATGTATCATTCGAAACTTGACATTACACATTATACTTCATAACTTTGCTGTACCAAATCGAGTGGCGACTGAGAGGCGTCTATGGAGTGCAAATGGTTAATACTTACTTCGAGGAAGATCAAATTTGATAATGTTTGTCCCACTCCAGTGAAACAATAGATAAATGTTTCCGGTCTAAACTAAATGAGCGATTTATTGAAAACAAAGTAATAAATTACTTATTACTCTATTCGTTAATAGTTTCGAAACTTCTAATAAAGCATTTTTACATTGTTATTCTGTCGTTAGCACATTGCGTAACCGGCTAATTTTCAGAAAACAGAATTGTGCGGATGGCAATTTTCAGTGAGGTCAACTTATATCACTATACATAGAAAAACTAAGATATCATATTGTTATGTAATATATTTTAAATAGATAATCAATTCGAATCAAATTTTATATTTTTTTCAATGCTGTGATAATTAGCGAAGTTGAATAGCTAAGTGCCTTTATATAAAAACGATATTTCTCGTTACCAGTACGCAATGTGTTAACTATAATAATTATTGTTATAGTTAAACTATACTAATTAACTAGGATACTTAACTATAACAATTGTCCAATTACTTTTCACAGAATGCTTACCAAAATTCTTAAAATTATTCTCGACGACTGGAATAATCTCAGTCAAACTGATCCGTATAAGCATTTGATGGAGGAAAAGGTTGTTGTTTCCACGCGTGTATCGAATTACGTGATGGCCGTTTATTCGGTGGCTGATGTTATATATGCAGTGGTTGCCGTGTACATGACTGGCGATGAGGCAGAGTATGACGGATACCAGAGGAAAATGATGTTGAGAATGAAGTTTCCCTTCGACGCTATGGTTTCTCCAGTTTACGAAGTTGTTCTGCTCGCACAGCTTGCGCTCGAATTCTTCATGGTCATGGGCGCTGGGATATCAATGGCATTTCTGGCATCATTAGTGAGTTATATTCTCGATTTCCTTTATGAAATTACGTTCTTCGTTCGTTGAAACAGGCAAAACGTGTTTCTAATATCGTATTTTAAATTCGATATCTCGGATATAATAGGCTACTCAATTTCTTTCAAAGTATATAACGTAATATATTGTGTAATCTCATAGATACTGCAGTTTTATTATAGTTCTTTTATTTTAAAAAATTCAGATAAACATCAAGTATATTTTCCATCGTTACCTACAATTGTTTTCCATTATTCTGATAGACTTTCTATGTCCCTTTTCCAAATTTCACTTGTCTATGATGAAAAATACAGTGCATGCAACTGGAAGAACCACATTATTTATGAAGTGTCCCAATATATTACAATTTACACGACATTTGATGGGTTCAAACTACTCCATTTTGAAACGTTTTAAACACTGTGATCGACATTTTCTTAAATTCCAGGTATTACATGTAGGTGGCCAAATAGACGTATTGTGCCAAGAAATATTGAGTGTTCCTAATTATATCAAAGAAAAGAGATTACCCATACTTAAAAGTCTCATCGTCAAACACCAGAAAATCATATTTTTATCTGAAAGTATTAAACACCTCTTCCTTTACATATCATTGGCGCAATTCCTAACCAGTATTATACTAATCTGTTTTCTAGGCTTTATGATTGTCACCGTGAGTCAATTTTAATGTATAGTTCCAATTGCGAACGATGATCGAATAAATTTTGTATATGTCGTTACATGAATTTAAAATATTTCAGTCTATACGTACAGACAGGGGACTTTCGTTAATGGCAAAATACTTTCCTTCCTATGTGACAGCAATTTCTGAGGCGTTCGTTATTTGTTATACCGGTGAATATCTAAGTAGTAAGGTGAGTCATTAACCCTTTGAACTCTGCAGGCTCCAATATTGCACCAGTTATAATATTAAATATTTTAATGAATCTTAAAGAAACTACCCTAAAATTATTAGATTTTGCACACATCCGAATTTTGTATTAAGGAACAACCCGGAATACTAAGGGTTAAAATTAAAAAATCTGACGGCATAATAATAATTCGATCAGGGTTAGATGACTTCAGGATTTTCGACTTTAGCTCGGTTGTTCAGACATTGGACAATTAGTATATCGCTAATTGTTAATATTTGTCGAAGAACCTCCGTTTTCATAGATTATCATATAAAAAAATTGAACAACAGATTTCTATCGCAATTAGAAGACTCATGGTAGAAGTAAAATCGAAGTACCATTGATTCTGTTATAAATCTTTACACAGATTTTCTTGTAAAAAAATTTCTTGTACTATGTAATATAAAAAGTAGTAATATAAAAGATATTCAACACATTGTTTGAAACAAAATTGGAAGTCGGTTTCGTTTCGCCGAAAGTATTACGCACCTATGAATTTTCTTAATAATCAACATAACGACAGACTATGACATAAAATTGTAGATTTTTTATATGCAGGTTTATTTTTTTCTTTAGTAATCAGCACAGTAGTACAATGCCACGTAAAATGGTAAAAAGAGCGAACTTGCTTTCTTTATCATTTTTCTCAGATAGTTATAATCTACGAGGAAGACAATTATTTCAGAGACTTAATTGTCTTCCTTGGCGATTATAACTATCGCGAAAGCATTTCAGAGTGAAGATATTCATCGAGCTATGACGGATATGGATTGGTACAAATTGGACCAATCGGATATTCACCTAATACATTTGATATTGTTGAGAACGGAAAAACTATTAACGCTTACAGCCGGAAAATTTGTTACTCTGTCCGTGGAAACGTTTGCCAATGTAAGCATCATAATAATAAATGTAGTGCAGGCATATTAAATAATTTAAAGAGGCTAGTGAATAACTTCGAAAATTGCCATACGTCGTCATTTTGTTAACCCTTTGCACTCGAGAAGCGCCTTTCAGTCGTCGCTGGAGTCGACCCAACAAAATTCTAAAATTTCAGATTCAATATTAAATTTTATATAATGTATCAACACATGAAACATCGAAATAAAATAGTTTTGTCGCTTAATTTATATAAGGTATTTCTTTACGTCAGTTGTAAAGAGTATCATTGATATCTTATCAGAAAATAATGAATATTTGTCGATAAAATATTCTCGAGTGCAAAGGGTTAATATTCGTATTTTAAAATTACGCGAAAGCCTAGAACTTTGTTGCCTAGTGTCCTTAAATTAAATCAACTAAAATGCATAATTTCTATGATATTCAGGAATATATTATACGTCGAATATGTTGCAATTTTTAGATAATAAAAGCGTCCGCATCCTACGTTTCACTATTGTTAGCCGTATACTAATTTGGAAAATTATAAATCGACGTTATAAGCGGATACGATACATGAAATGAAGAAACCATGACAATATAATTACTGAAAATATGACGATTCGAACGGACATGATGATGGAAGTAGAAATTAAGTATATGATCATTGTTCGACACGCGTTGTTTCAATTCAATGTAAATGTTGTGAATACACTTTGTTGCTCTAATTGTATTTTACTTGCAATGCTGCCCACACTTCTTTCCATAAATAATCCTAAGGGATCCATATTTTTTACCAAAAGGAACAAAATTTCCCATTAAACCGATATTTAATGTTATTATTGCGACACTACTCCATACCAACACTATAAAATGTATTATTGGGAATAATGATGTACATTATTCTAACACTTACCAATGATTGTATTTTCATGAGAGAATTATTCATTGAATACCAACAATAATTCTATACGCTATCTAAACTGACTATTTACGGAAGCAAAATAGAAACGCAAGCTGTGAAGAATCCACGGAAACTTTTGTCTACACAATACTTCTGAGATGACTGAAGAGGAAATGAAAGGAATGAAAAAGCCGCAAGAAGAAGAACCTCTGAGAATTGTTTCATTTGTTGTTGTTCCAGAAACAAACAGCTCGACTATGATCTATTCGGAACGGCAGTTTACGAAAGCTATAACTATTCGTCGCACAGCAGCATCGACAGAACCCCAGAAACTTGACCGGATCATTATTATTTAAAACCGACTGAGGTTTCCTGCTCATGCAATATGTAAATCAGTGTTCGACGCGGAGAGCATCGATAGTCGCACGAAAA